GATTGAGAATGATTTATGTTGACCATCAAAAAGTGATATGGAAGATCATTCAGGGACGGAGGGAGTAATACTTACTTTTAGAGTTTAAGGATCTCCAAAGGCAAAATGTGAAGTGTACAGTATCACATAAGAAATAAGCACCTAAAAGTTACATGTTTGATAAAAAGTTATTCAATAATTTTTTTGAAAGAAGAAGAAGACTTAATTATTATTAATAATGAGAGTAATAAGAGACAAAGCAATACAATAGCTCAAAGCTACATTACAGTGAGACATAGAATTGACTAGCCTCTGAGGACCTGTCAAATTCGTTAACCCCGCATCATGGTAGTCTAATCTAACAACATCGATGAACTTGCTACTAAAATGAGAGATTACTAAACAAGGATTCTTTAAATAAAAAATAACAAACTAATTCAAGCGTCCCGGTTTTACCAACCACCAGGAAGGGAGAAGAGGTTTGTACATCCACCTCCAAAGGAAGCATCCCGATTTTACCAGCCACCGGGAAAGGAGAAGAGGGTTGTCTAGCCACCTCCAAAACAACCATCTCATTTATGGGACTTGTTTGTATTTTAGGCGGTGTTGTTCTGGGAGCACCGCCTCCTTGCCATTTTTTTATCCCTTGCAATCAACCTCTTTCATTGACATCCTTTCATAAGCCTGATTTGTGCTCTCCATTAATGGCCAACAAATAAACGTCGAGTCCGAGACGGAGAAAAAGAAGCACTAGAATGCACGAACAAAAAACAAACACATTCACAATTGGAACGGACGAAACCCTCGGCCAGAGACAACTCAGCCGGACGAAACAAAAAATGACCAGAAAATCAGTCGAAAAGAAATCTCAAACGATGAGAAAACCTTAATTACCGTAACACAAAATTAGAGCCTTGTCAAGCTGCTGATGCGCCGTCGCGCCGAGCAAGATGATGAAGATGCGCGGTTGCGCGGCTGCTAGGGTCGTGGTTTTGCCGCTATGCCATATTGCGGCTATGTTATTCAATAAAATTAATAAAGGCAAAATGTGAAATTTCTTCTTGTACTATAATTTATCCTAAGTTAAAGTCATTCTCTTCGCCCTTCAAGGCATCAATAAATTTGTGTAACCTTTCTTTGTGTTTGTTGATTCTTCAAACCATCATCCTGCGGGTGGATTCGATTAAAAAAGTCATTTTTATCTAAAACTAAATGTCGAGACCAAGTAAAAAGTTCTGTTTGATTCGGATTACACCAATTCATGAACATGATTCAAATTTATGATTATCATCATGTTGAGTTACTTCTTCATTTTTCATGATTTCATCTTCTCCTTGATTGCTCTTCACCACAACACATTGAACTAGAAGCATGTACATTTGTGGTCACTTTCTTTTCTTATAGGTTGTGTCATATTGAAATCAAGCCCTTAATAAAATGAGGGCATTGAAAATTTTAGGGATGATGCTTTTCAAGAAACTTGATATAGTCCATTTGAGTTGGTAACTAGTTCCCTTGAGGAGGACCCTCTTGGTTGTCAAATCCTTCACAAGAAAAAATGGATAAAATTCAAAGTAAACATTATTATCATCAGGAGACGATGGATCGATAATAAAGATGTGGTGTAACGATCCTGATGAAGTATGGCTTGATCAGTGGCTTATAAGCTAGGTGTTCCTTCCTCCTAACCGGTTAGTCTTTTGGGAGTGAGTTCTACACCTGGGCTTATGGCGTTGGTATAGGCCTGGTATGAGCTAGGTCCGTAACATGTGGTTAATTGTGGAACTCTAAGAAATTACACATAACTAAAGTGGGGATGAAGAGGGAATCGTTGAGGAACCAGAAATTGAAAGTTTCAAATCTATGTGATTGCCAACACGAAGTGTGTCACTACCATACTATGGTGCAGGGTTGTCGAGAGCCACAATATCAGAGCGTGGCATGATAAGTTGTGCCATTGTCTGAATACCAGTTGTGAGTTGTAATTCAATGAAGAAGTATGTGGTTGGTGATAAGTCACATGAACTTATGGCAGATGATGTGTTGTATGTCGTTGGGAAAAGTCCATGCAACAATCATAGCAATGAAGTGTTATATGAAAGGTACAACTGCAAATCTGGAAAATAGATATGGTAGAGTTGTCCTGACCATGAAGTGGCGAGCGACCACGATTAGAACCATTGTTTATGCCATGGAAATCATCACGGTGACCATTGATGACCATTGTTGGGTGCTAGTCCATATACTCTATCAACCACTGTGAGGAGAGATTGTGTTTTGGGGAGAAAACTGAGATGACAAAAAGACAGTTTGGATCATATTGGCAACTGGCTGTGAAGAGGCACTAACAAATAACAATGATAGGTGTAGATGAGGCATCATCGTAAATGAACTTATGAGTCGTGATGAAATCAGCGATTTTATCAAGAGTGGGAGGTTCTGAACGGAGACCGCAAAAAATATAGATATTTTGTTCATCAAGTGAGACAAAATGGTCAAATTGATCGAGTTTTTCTATTAGAATTCGAGCTTTACCCAGGTACTATGCTGGAGATAGATCTCCTTAGCAAAGAGATTGTAGCTGAGTAAGGAGACTAAGAGATCAAGACCAAGACCAAGTTTGAGAAGCAAGGACACACTCTATAGCAGTCCAAACTTCACGAATCATGAGAGGTGGATTTGCCAACCGCTAGAGGCATAACTTCTTCGAACAATGATGATATCAACATGCTCAAGATAGACTGATCTTGAGTGATCTAAGTCATGGTATAAGTTGGATCAGACGATGGCAGACATGACAACATGCCACCAACATAGCCAAGAAGTTGGTGACCACAAAGGAAGCGAACTAGCTGCGTTTTCCAAAACAAATCATTTCGGGATGTTAATTTTATGGAGACAAAGTGGTGAGCATTGGACAAGCTCACTGTGGACGAAGGAAAAACATTACTGATGCATTGATTAACAGCACTACAGCAGAAATGGTAGCACCAAAAGGTGTAGTTGTGGTCTACAGTTCAGTGCAAGGAGAGACCATGGTTACCCCATTGTAGGCATGGACCCGGTTCGGGCCGCCCGGCCCGGGACCGGCCCGGCCCGCCACTGTGCGAGCCCGGAACCGGCCCGGTTCTCGGGTCCGGGTCCGGGTCGGGCCTAGGCCCGGTGGGGTGGCCGGGTCCCGGCTCGGGCCTTGAATTTGGCGAACCGGCCCGTCCGGGTCGGGTTCGGGCCCGGGCCGAATTGATTTTTTTTTAATTTTTTTTTCTTTTTTTGGGGTTAGCCAAGTTGGGCTTGATGGTTAGGAGGGGTTTGGGGGTTTGGGGGGGTGTGGGGGTGAGTGGGGGGGTTAGGAAAGCAAAAAAAAAAAAAAAAAAAAAAAAATTATAACCGAACCGGAGGCCCGGCCCGGCCTGGACTCGGACCGGACCCGGTGGCTACCCGGGCCGGTCCCGGGCCTTCCTTCCCAAAAAAAAAGCCCGGCCGGGCCTGGCCCGGAACCGGAACCGGCCCGGCCCGGGTCCATGACTACCCCATTGTCTGATGCCATATAAGCTTTGATAGAGAATAACTATAATTATTAAATATCTTTGATTACAGATTTTCTACTTACTGGTACATGTGTGTAGCTGATTTTTTTTCTTTTTCTTCTACTCCAGGGGGTGTGGGGGAGGGGGGCTGGGGGGACTGGAGTAATAAGGGATGAAACTCACTCCATTGAGTTTCAAACCCCTATGTGCCTAGCGGGTTTCCAACTCGAAACCTCCCACTAGGCACGGTAACCTCACAACCAGCTAGGTTAGAATGCTTAGCTGATTTATTTATATAATTATACATACATGGCTGCTACAGTTCTGTAAATCACTCAACTTGAAATGCTAAGTAGTAGGAGTACAAGATATTTATGTTATGAGGAGATAACTCTTATCCTAAAAAGTAGCTGTATTTCATTAAGGATAATATCGCAAAGGCTCCAATACCATAATAGGCAAGAATTAGTTAAACACTCTTGGAAGGACGAAGGCATAAAGCATAATCACTTGTAAATTATTTTCACCTGCACGATCTGAAGTACAAGTGACATGTACGCAATACAAAACCCAAAGTACAATATGAATAATATGAGGGAAAGTTATAGTTAAGTATTGAATAGAAATAAGCTTATGCTTAATATGCAGAACATGGTAGATAGACTTGAAGCTTGTGGAGCTTAAGTCTGTCGAGGACGGCCTCTAGGAAGTTGTCAAGGCTTATTGGTTTGGTCCATGTTTGCTATCTCATGTTCGGGAAGGCAAAAGAGTTGTTATAGAGCAAGTAGCTTGGTTCGAAGGTCTTCAAAATTAAGGTTGTCAGAAAGACACATATTAACTGTGATCAAGGATTCATATAAGAGTAATATGACCTTCAGTCCCCAGATTGTGTATTAAGTTCATTACTAATATAGTGTCATGAATTTGATCTCCCGTAGATGTAAACCAACAGCACCATAATGGCAATGTCCGGGGCCAAGAAAGCAAGAGAGAAGACTGGGACACAAGAATTCTTGGAGGGCTGATACTACTTTGTGGTGAAAGTCCAAATTTAGAATTCCTAGTTGTCCAGAAAGAGACAAGAGAATTGCACCAGATGACTAGATTGGCTGTTTCATGACATGATCCTGGGGTGGGAATCCGCATCCTCGGAAGTCGGAATGGCAATGCAATTCCAAGTGAAGAGTTTTTGCATGTATAAAAAGCATGTATGAGCTGGTGGGAAGGTGGTGCGTGAAACAGAGATGGATATTAAGTACATGACAAGTAATCCTATTGTAGTTTGCTCCAAGGAGAGGGTGTCATGGACTCATGGTTGGGGAAGTTTTCATCATCAAACCTGAGGACAGGGGTGGCGAATGCTATTGTCGAGCCTCGTGCTAAGACGGTGAACATTATCAAATAAAACCAGGGCTGTAAAACCAAGGCGACTTATACCATATGAGAGAAAATAATAGAATGGAGTTACTCAGCATATAGGGTCATAGGGAGCCAGGGAGGTATAACATAGTCAATGACAGTTCTAGTAAATTACCGAATAACCCTAAACACTTCTAAGACTAACTTGGAGTTCTATAGTAAATAAAAGGCAGAATATTTAGAAGACGGCACCAGGGAATTAATCATATATAATAACATCATCATAGTAAACAATCCAACTCACATCACTTTATAAGAGCATATACACTGATAGTAGTAGTCTTTAAAACAACAACAAACAACATGAAAGTTTTCACAACACCACCAATGTTCAGAGTAGCAAGGAATATGTTTTTTGGCTATGATCAGCTCCAACTTCAGGGTTCTGAAATATTTGCAGGAGCAAACTTGATTGAGACACTGTTCACACAGTGGCGTTCGTCTGTAGGTGTTTTGTACCCTTCACCTTTGAAAACATGGCCTAGGTGTCCACCACAAGCAGTGCAGGTGATCTCAGTCCTCCTTCCATCAGGGTCAGGCTGACACACGACTATTTGTGTTTAATATGGAAAAGCAATGGAAGGTTATAGTTTACTGACATAGTTGTGCATATTGCTACATACAAGTTTAACTTTAACAGAGTTTAATGAGACCAGTTGTCAGTTTCAGGAAACTCATATCAGTATGCCATCCCTAACTGTGTTTTGTGATATTTATTAAGACTTGGCCGGGGGCTAGAAGATTAAGAAAAATGAAAAACATGGAATTCGGAATTTATATAGGTAATGTTTAGGAAGAAAGTGCTGATAAAAGTATTGGTCCAAACTCGAAAGTTTCTACTTATTACTACTCAAAATCAATTTGTTTGTTATCGTATTACAATTTTACATAATCATGTAGTTGACCTGTTCCGATATTTAGTCTTATGAATGTTACTTAAAATAGTTCTAATTAAAACTTGTGTTTTTCATAAAGTTGATAAATATCATTCATATGAAATCCATAGATTTGTGCAAATCAAATGAATTCATTCATAAAAAGTTTATGGAATTAAAAGTCTATGGACTTTTAAAAATCCATGGATTAAAAAAAAATCATCACAATCCATATACAATACACCCCTCTAAATAATGGAAGCTTCAATCATATTTGGTTTCTCCTTGCATTTTCTTAGATAAAACCAGATGTAAGAAAATTGTCTTTTTAGCATTTTATTTAATTTATCTAGCAGTTTTAAAGATCCAAATGTATCCTTAGAGAAGAGAGAAATCATACCATTTATAAAATGTTTTCGTTAGAATGAAAAGCATAATCCAAGATACAAACATATCATTAAACTATGTTAAACAAAGCCTCATATATGAGTAGCCCATATGAGACAAACATTTAAACATCTCAGACTGTATGATACCTTGTATGCACCAAGCAATTTTATTCATTAGAAAACCCTACACTGGACAATCCAAATTTGCATATAAGCCTACACCATGTACGAATTCTCGCTATGTTCTAATTTATTTTAAATTTCTTTCAATCTCTGATTTTTTATAATAATTTTTTATCATAATAAAACTTAGTTTTTTTTTTCAATAGTACTTGTATTATACGGAGTAGTTCCTAAAATATATAGATTTTCATTGTTAATACAGATATATGTTTAAAAGGAAGAGTTCGTTTTATTGTTAGTTAACCATAGTAATCTGAACTTGAAAACATATGGTGTTTTCACTTGGATTGAAATTTTTTGGTCTGGTCTGTTTAACTCTAGTTTGGTAAAGGTATGATATTATGTGTATTTTACTCTTACCAAGTGTGGCATGGTATGATCTCAGCTGAAACCATGAAACCATACTTAAAACGGGACAAAAGGAGTAATTAAATTTGAGGCACATGTATGAAGCTCATAGAAGAATAATAATCAAAGTTTTACATTTTAATTGTTTTTTTGTTTGTGTTTTCTAATCTATTATAGTATCTCATCTAGTTAGTGTCAATATCCTTGACTGATATGAGTTTGAACCTTGTGACCTCTTCCTTGGGAGTGTCACTAGTGATACCATTATTTGACATATTTTGATTAGTTATTTCATACAATAGTATGGCACTACACATGCATGAAAAGTGATGATTCGATTTAAGAAATGGTAAAAAAGCAAGTAAGAACTCACTGAGCGGGTAATTGCCCCAGGGAAACCTTCATAAAAGGCAGGCCAACCACAACCAGAGTCGAACTTGGTTGTAGATTTATAGAGTGGGGTCCCACAACCACCACAATTGTAGATTCCTTCCCCATAAAACTTGTCATATTCCCCGGTGCCACGCAATCTGCAAATCATTCCTAGGTCAACAACTTGCATTAAAAACATATGCATGAAGCTCTTTTTTATCTCGCCAAACTGAGAGACTATTCATCCAAGGTGTTCTCTAATCATTATTTTAAATATTACTCCATATGAATCAATAAAAAATTAATCTATTAGAAATTGGGGTTCCATCTTAAGACAAAGGTCACATGTTTACCACACAGAAAGATTAGATAACATCTTGTATATCAATTTAATATTTTATAGATGACAAATACTTCAACATAAACACCATAACAATGATTTGTTTGTACTAGGGTTTTAGTTAAAATGTTTGATTAAATCTTTCAAATTTTAGCCATCAATGCTAAACTTCTAGGTTCCCCACCTCCGCCCAATTAATCCAACAATGTCATAGGAAATACTTCGTATATAATTCATCTTAGGCCTGAGTGTCTTAGACCCAAAATCATTTAACTACCTTTAAAAAAGACGACATTGGCGTTTTCAAGTGACAAATTCTTGTTAAATTATGCCCTTAAAAGCTAAAAGCAAGTGAAGAGATCTTTAAAGTGCTCTTTACTTTTTCTGTTACATAAAAAACCTTTTTTATTTTTTCCCAAACACGACCAACTTTTACTATTAAGCACATTTTTTAAAATCACTTTAAAAATCATTTTTTTTTTCAAAATAGAAGCAATAGCAAACACTCCCTAAAACTCACAACAAGCAACTATCTCAATTAAATTTCATTTGAAAATAAGTTTTTTGGGACTTCATCACATAATTACTTCACGATAGTTATATATGCTTTTTCCTTTGGTTTTTTGAACTCATACATTTATAGCGGGACGATTAATTGTCATGAGTACAAAGGGATTACAACAGTCTAAATTAGGATGAGGATCAAGTCATGATGATGAAGAAATTAAACAAATAATACTCATAGCCTAAAGCACAAATAAAATTCACAAACAAGACTAGCACATTTTATTTCTTAGTCCTAACGAGAGAATAAAAACGGAAAACTCTTCTATTAACTGTGAACGAGTCTCATTTTGATAATATGTTGCAATATTGGATTATGTGCATTTAGACCATTTTCTCACGAGTTAACCCAATATACTTCTCAGAATTGTTAAATAATCAGTAAGGGCATAAAATGAAATCGAAAACACAAGCAAGCAAAATGTGCATACAAGTTTATAAGTTTGCTCAAAGGAATTGACCAAATGACTGAAAAGGGAGGGAGATGAGGAATTAATTACTCTGTGCCCTTTTGTCGAAGGACCCGAAACTGTTCGGGAGAGAGAACGGCCCTCCATTCATCCTCGGATTTCTCAACTTTTGGAGCTGTCATGGCCTTTTGATGATAGATAGAAAGTAGAAACACAGTTGCGAGTATATATAGCTTATGTGTTAGCTACATATGTAGTCCGTATCTCATAATCTCAGCTATTTATGGTGTTCATTGGATTTCCTTTGAAGAATGAATGTGGTCGGAAGAGTGAGGCAAATACAATCCGAACCGTAACGAGGGAGCGCAAGGGAGTGTTTGGGCGTAATTTTTTTAAGAGATTATTGAAAATGTGATTTACAATTAAAGTAGATATTGTTTGGAAATAGAAGTGATTTTAATTAAAATGTAAAAGTTGGAGTGTTTGATAATAATGTGATTTTTTGAAGTAAATTGTAGAAATACAAAATTACCCTTCCATTATTAAATACTTATTGCTGCTCCTCTTTCTTAGACCTTTCTTTCCTCCCTGTGTTCGAAGAGCTAGCTAGGGTTAAAATCACAATTCTTCTCTTCTGTTCTTTTCTATTCTCTTCTCTTCTATTCCAAAAATCGACGATGAGTACATACGAAGGATCTTTGTGGAGTGTTGAATGTTTCATGAGCAGCGTCCAATTATACTCCGTATTGGCTAATTGGCTAATTGCAATAATCACATGATTTTTAAGTTCAAATGATTTTTTATTTCTACTCACATGTCCAGGTTATCAAAAATTTGCATCTGGACATTTAAGTTCAACCGACAGGGAAGAAGAGCTGGAACGACGAACCGAAGAGGGGAAGATGGCATGGGTTGTTGTTATCATTTCAGGGTATTTTTGGGATTAGATGGATTTTGGGGTATTATAATTATCCAAAAAAATTGTGTTATTTACAAGAATAGCTAGAAGCATTTAGAAGTTGGTATATACTAGCTTCCATCTTTTGGCTTTAAAGTGCTTTTTTCTAATTAGAAGTAGGGTTTGACAAACACTTCTTTTAGCTTTTTGAAGTTAAAAGTTGAGAAGTGCTTATTTTAAGCATTGTCAAACACTCCTTAAGTTTGTTGAGACTTAAAAAAGCACTTATTTACCAAACATTACCAATTTTTACTTTTCTTGGTTTTCATGTGAAAAGTGTTTTTCCCTTTTCTATTACACAAAAAGCATTTATTTTACCGAACACTACCAAGTTTTACTTTTCATAATCACTTTTTTCTCAAACACTATCAACCTTTACTACTAATCACTTTTTCCAAATCACTCCAAAAGTGCTTTTTTAAGCAGAAGCTGTTACAAACACTCCCTAATATTGATTAATATTGAGTTCGGTGCTCTGATGAGTTTAAGTCTCAACAGGTCTGGTCTGGTAAATGTCTGGTCTCTGTGTATTTTAAAACTATAGAAATCTGGTCTGGTCTGATTTGTTTAAGTCTGACGTGGTCTGATCTGGTCTGCTTAAGTCTAGTCTGGTCTAGTATGGGACTCAAAACAGTCCAAGTAAAAACATCTTTATAATCAAAATTTGGAATTACTTTTCTAACTAGATTTAATGAAGTTACTTTAATTGATCGTTTTAACTATTTATCATATACGAAGTAATTTGTTCTTCAATTAATTAAATAAAATTTACTACTACCTCTGTCCCACTATGTTTGGGACAATTCGGTTTACGAGGCTTGATCGACGATAAAGCAAACAGATCCATGTCTGTAGTCAAATTATTTTTTTTTAAATTACATATTGAGAAACTACATTAAAAGCTTTACAAAATCGCAAAAACCAGAATCGAATTTGATAAAAATTTGATATATAAAGTAAGAGATTAAGAGTGATTTGTGTTTACCAAGTGAATAGTGTCTGGGACAATCTTAGCGGGACGGAGGGAGTATAATTTAGCATATTCGACTCATTGAGTCATTTCTATCAGAACTTCATCAATTTCAATAGAATCAGTCGGTTCAATCAATTTCAAGCTTAACAAACATGCTACTAGAGATTATACTAATAATAGTAAGAGCCCATTTGATAATTTTGTTTTCGAATAATCATTCTCATCGGCCAACTTTTAACTAAACACAAATTTTTTTTATTTCGTGAGCTAAATTTTATAATAATCAAAGCAGGTAAAGTTGAATTACTTTTCTATCTGAATTGACTGAAGTTACTTTAGAGTACTATTTTAGCTATTTCCATATAAGTTTTTCTTTAATATGTTAATAAAAGTATCATATAAATATTATTTTTCAGTAATTTAGCCATTTCGACCAACATTTTATCAATTTCAGCGGAATTCATCCGATTCGGTCAATTTCAGTGTTATCGAATGGGCGTAAAAGTTTAAATGGTTTGAGAAATAAAGTAACTTTAAAAAATAAAAAGTTAAAGTGTTTGATAAAAAATTACTTTTTATGTACTCCGTAATAAAGAAAGTTAAAAACACCATTTTTAGAGGATTTTCCTAAAATATTACTACTAAAAAGTTTATGATGTAGTTACTTACCATGTAAAATTTGAACATGATTATAGTCTATAAAATTTATTAAGTTACATTTTTATTTATCATTTTCATGGGAGGGTTTTTTTCGGCTTTCTGTGCAGCAAGCTTGAAGAGTAGTCATATCGCACATTCACACATAATAACCCATGTCTCATATCGCCGCTCACCCTTCCAAACTTGGTCATTTTGTCTCTTCCAGTATCTCCACAATAGCATAATGAAATTATAGTAGGAATCATCATCCAGGTTCTCAAACATTAAACGCACCCAATCTTGAAAACTCTTAACAGGCCGTTAGAAACACTCTCCCATTTTCTGCCTCAAATTGTTGGATGTGGGTAAGCAACCCATCATAAGATGCCGCATGAAAACTTGGGTGGAAGTGAAAATTTCTACAATTTGATCCAGCCCATCGAGTCTTGCACCTGACATTCCACGATCAGCAAACGATAGCAACTTTAGACAAAAAAGCGACCCTAATTATCTTGAACTCGCATGTGGCTCAGAGTTATACTCAAAATGTTCTCACACTCATTAGCTGAAAAAAGACTCCTCGCTCTCTTCTCATCCCATCTTCTTCCAAAGTTAGTAGAGAAGCAACATTCATGTCCTTCACCCACAATGGTTGTGCTGATTTTAGTCTTCTAGAATCCAGGCGGTGCACCCAAGCGTCACCCCCAGACGTTGGTATCAATCCCATCTCCTATACGTTTACGCAAGCCTGTGCATACAACTTATGAGCTTCCATTATAGTGTGCCAAACAAACGAAGGGATTGACCCTAAACTAGCTTGAGAGAAATCAGTCATTGAGAAATACTTTGCTTTAAAGATTCTACTTACAAGTGAACGCGGCTCCGTTATGAATGACCAAGCTTGTTTCCCCAACATCGCCACATTAAGCTCCATGTGTCTTCGGAAGCCCAACCCACCCATCTTCTTTGGATAACAAAGTCCCTATCAGTATTTCCATAGGATTCCACGCTTTATAAAATCAACACCTCTCCACCAATATCCATTCATAATTGTTTCAATTTCAGTACATATCTCCTTCGGTAAAAAAATACATTCATTACACATGTTGGCATAGCTTGAATGATAGTTTTTAGCAAAATATCTCTCCCTGCTCTTGATAGCAACCTATTATTCCACCATTGAAGCCTTTTTAATACCCGCTCTCTTAAATAGTCCTAAATCTCTTTTCCTGTCTCATAATAAGAGCTGTCAATCCAAGATAATTGGGTGTATTACTCTCTTGTTGCACCCCCATTTGGTCACTTATTGCCAACCTTAGCCCTTCGCTCACATTAGGACTAAAAGTCAAACTAGACTTAATGTACTTTATGACATGTCCCGAAACTAATTCGTACTCTTTCAGGACCTCTTTCACCACTTGACAATCCTTCTCCGAAGTTTTGAAGAAAAAAAACTATCATCCGCCAAGAAAAGATGAGATACTCTAGGTGCGCCCAATATAATGCTATTGCAACCACTAGTACCTCCCCACTTGCTTCCTTAACTTAAATCATACTACATAAACCTTCTGCCACGAGAATGAAGAGATAAGGAGATAACGGGCCCCCTTGTCTAAACCCTCGTTGTGGATTTATCGATCCCAATACTGTATCCTCAAAAGGGATAAAATAACTCACTGGAGTAACACACTCCATAATGGTCTCCACCCACTTGGCATCAAAGCCAAATCCCAGAAGAACATGCCGAAGAAAGGACCACTCTACCATGTCATAAGCCTTGCTCATTTCTAATGTTAAGATCGCCCATCCATGTTTGCCTTGAATTTTACGTTTTAGGAAATGCACAGTCTCATATGAAATCAAAACACTATCAACGATCGTACGTCCTGGGACGAAAGCACTTTGACATTCAGAAATAATGTTGTTTAATAGGCCTTTCATCCTGTTTGACAATACTTTTGCAAAGATTTTATAAATTACATTACACAAAGCAATCAGACGCCAATCACCCATACTCATTGGCTCATGTTTTTTAGGAATTAAAACATTTTGTGCTTGAGATATTTTTCTTGCCATACCAAATTGTATACTCCTTCATGTATGTTCCGCACCAGTAAACAACGTAGAGAAATACTTGGATATCAAGTTTCCCATTGCTTCTTTATTAGTGAACTTGACTATTTAATAACCCCAACATTCTGTTGCGACAGAGCCTCTTTTTTTTACAGAATTGTGAAAAATCATGAACTGACGTCACCTTCCTGGAGGGGTTATTAAAAAGTCAAGATCACTAATAAAGAAGCAATGGGAAACTTGATAGTCAAAATCATGAACATTAGTGTTTTGATTTCATATGAAATCAAAACACTATCAACGATCGTACGTCCTGGGACGAAAGCACTTTGACATTCAGAAATAATGTTGTTTAATAGGCCTTTTATCCTGTTTGACAATACTTTTGCAAAGATTTTATAAATTACATTACACAAAGCAATCAGACGCCAATCACCCATACTCATTGGCTCATGTTTTTTAGGAATTAAAACATTTTGTGCTTGAGATATTTTTCTTGCCATACCAAATTGTATACTCCTTCATGTATGTTCCGCACCAGTAAACAACGTAGAGAAATACTTGGATATCAAGTTTCCCATTGCTTCTTTATTAGTGAACTTGACTATTTAATAACCCCAACATTCTGTTGCGACAGAGCCTTTTTTTTTTACAGAATTGTGAAAAATCATGAACTGAAGTCACCTTCCTGGAGGCAAATCTCTTTTGTCTGTTGTTGCCAAAAAATGTTCTCTTTCTCCATAAGGGACAAACATGTACATTTAAATCTTTGGCACTCGTTCTAGCTCGCCAAGTTCACTCTTCCTCTAAGCCAAGAAAGCCTTTGCTTACTCGTCTCTATCTCAACCCGATATCCTCTTTTAAGGTTTATTCCCCACTTATTTAACTCAATGCCACACTTCTCAATTCGATTGCAAATGTTCCTTCATCTCGCCCCTCCCAACTTCTGGAAACCACATCCCTGAATTCAGCTCCCCTTTACCACACATTTTTGAACTTGAAAGTTCTTCTTCCATGCCTATCAGCATATGGAAATATTCGGATAAAAAGCATCATGTGATCACTGAACGACCCTTCTAAGGAACATGCTTAACCTCTTCCAAACAATTGTAGCCAACCTTCATTAACTAAAATGCGATCAAGTTTTTGCTTTATCCATGTTGCAGCACCTTTTCCACCTTCCCAGGTTAGTTGATACACATCAAATATAAATTTTGGAGACCACGGCCAAAAACAGCCTCTTGGAATCCTCAAAGCCTCCTCCTTGGTTGAAGATATTGTCCTCTCCTTTCACTTTCTAAAAACTTATAAGAGTGAATAGGGGTAAGGGTATTTTGGACAGCAAAAATGTGTTCGTAGTAACATTAATGCATTAGGAAGTTGTACACTCACTTCAACGAACCCCCAAAATTTACGTCTATCATATTCTCTGTCAAAAATATCCTTGACGTTAAGTTAACCACATCCAAGTTTTCCGTTTGCAGCTTCCACTATTCTCTCCATCCATTTATTTATACAGTAGGTTACGATGTTAGACAACTTCTACATGCCTACACCTAAAATAATCCTTTTATCTTTCAACTCCATCAAGACATACACGAGTCACAACACATACATGATACCGCTCAAAAGGGTTTGATTCCTTGGGTTGGTGGATGTTGAATTAATCTCTTCCGTATATGATTTTGATTCCGTAGAGTGTGTGCTTATTCATTATTGCTCATATATAACTCTATTTACTTATCTGAAGTAAGATTTGCATTATTGGTAGATGCCCAACTTGATGAGATTAGAAGCTTAATCTAATTTGAATGGACTAATCTAATTTTATGGAAGTAAAATGTTAGTGTTACATCTCATTGGAAAATTTTATCACAAAATATATTACTTCCATTCAAAAAAACTTGAGTTTTTTTCCAAAATAATGTTGAATAAAAAAGTATTTATGAAATTAGGGTAATAGGGTTGGGTTAAAAGTATTCAACAAAGTATTGTTGGACCGAATTGTGATTAGGGAAAATAGTCAAACAAATTGGCGGCGAGATGTGTCGGGGACCATGTAAAAGAAAATCTCCTTTTTTCTTTAAATTGCTATAACTTTAACATTTTTGCTCCAATTGTTTTAAAAAATACATCAAATTCTATAACTTTTTGTGATCTTTCATTTGACATCGATATTGAATATGTAAAGTTTACAAAATCCTGAAGACCATATGGGGTGAAAAATTAAATGCAACTATCTACTCTCAATAAACCTAATACTCAATCAATTTAAACTAAAATTCTGTATTCACCCTGTCAATTCAGTTTTTCCTTGCAAAATTTTAGCAAAAACTTTTTACAAAACTATTAAGATTCGATTGCTAAAGTTTTTTAAGCTCAATTTTTTTCATAAGCATATCCAAGTGATAAAATTAAAATTTCTTCATTATTATTTACATCTTTCAGTTGTTCTTCAACAAAAGACTTGAATCGATAAAAATAAATAAACTCCAAGTTTTTATTGCATTTATTAAATGTTTAACTGTTCAAATCAAAACGTAATTAAAACAAGAGTTTACTTTTTCTTATGTAAAAATTAAATCAATGGTTTTTTTTTGTTGAAATGTTTTACAAAAACTTATAAAATTTGATATATATTTTTAAAAAATGGAGCAAAAATTTGAAAGTTATAATAGCAATTTAAAGAAAAAGGAGAATTTCTTTTACATGGCACCACCACCTCAACACCTCTCTTCCCCAGCATCTAGCTTGTACGCACTTCTTCCATATTTTTGAGGAGAGTCGCCAATTCGTTTGGCAGCTTCCCGTAACCAAAGTACGTTTGCCTCAGTAGGTATTTTGGTAAATAGTTTTAACCCGGCCCTAATTTCATAAATACCTTTTTATGTAAAATTATTTTGGAAAAAACTAAAAAAAACTTGGTGTCGTGGGCTTTTCTTTGTCAATGATGGTAAAGTTTAAACAACAATTTTAATTATTATATTTATGTGTGATGAATAATTTTATGTTTATGAGAATATTTTTAGTAAAGAACAATTTCATTAAAAATGAAAGATTAATTTATCATGATTTATATAATAATTCATATTGGGCATTTATAATATTGCGCATCGCGCGTAAAAAAAACTAGTCATACAATATAAATCATTGAAGTCACCCATCAATAACCATGGCATGGACCATAAACCACCAACATACTTTAGCAAATTCCATGCGCCCTTGCACCAGCCACTTTACGGATAACTGTAAAATCCAGTAAACCTCCACTTTGTCGCTCTCTCTTCCAACTTTAGAGAGCAGTTAATATAGTTGCTTGTTGTCCCTAACACCTGGAGAATAATCTCTTCTCTCAAGAAGAGTGACAAGCCTCCACTAAGACCTCCCTTTTCCACCACAAAATTATTCTCGAACCCTAACTTGGTCATTAAAACCTCTACTCCCCCCTCGATGCCTTGGTTTTCAGTAAGCAGGTCATAACGAGGTTTCTTTCGCGAATGGTATCCAATAAGACTTAGACTATAGAAAGATTGTCAAGCCCTCTGCAATTCCAACTTACTACGCTCATCTTGTCTCCACATTCAAATCTGAGTATAACACCTTCCAAAAAACGCCCAACACCTATCCGCCGTGCAACGTGATAGAAGCTATCTGTAACACCATCCCCAAATATATTTAACTTTACGAAATTATGTATTGAACCTTGTGAAATTAGTAATGAATTTTAGGGATAAGGTACATATATACCCTTATAGTATAGGTGCAGGAACAAATATACCCCTATTCTATTTTTCGGAACAAATATACCCATGGACTTTGAAAAAGGTGCAAAAATATCACTCATGTTTTTATAAAGGAGCAAATTAATCCTTAATAAATTTAAAGTAATAAAATAAATTTCCAAAAACACCCAAAAAATAAAAAATCGATATTAAAATATAAAAAAGTTAAAATTTTTAGTATAAAATATTATTTCAAAATTATACTATATATTTGAGATTCTATCGAAAATGTGCTAACATATGTGTTGCAATGTAAAAAAATTATTTTTGCATTTTTTTCACTATAAAATTACATATTTTGTATGATGATAAATAGCCCAAAAATTACAAAATAGTGAATTTATATACTAAAAATATTTTTAAAAAAAAAAATAAAAAAAAAAAATAAAAAAAAAAATTAAATAAAAAATAATAATAATAATAAATAATTATAACTTCTAAAAAGTCACTCGGCGAAAGTGGATATGTACTTTCGTTGAACAAATGGCATAGGGCCCAGTAATAATAAAGGCCCAAAAATAATGAGTAATATGGAGTATTATGTAGTATGCATATATAGCTCAAGGTAATTCTGTCAACAAAAAAGGCATCGAATGGTTAGATGTTCTTTCTGTAATTGATTTAGCAAATTTATATTATTGGACTATTAGGTTGTTATATTTGTAATTGTTTCACTATTATACTTTTATAAGTAAATACTCCGTAATTTTGTTTTTTGAGTTTGTAATTACGGAGTATTAGTTACTGCGTAGCAACTTGTTTTTTACATAAATTTTAATAGTTAATTTCTATTTTCATTTTATCATATATCTTGATAGATAGTGGTTCTAATCAATTAGAAGAAAAAGAGGCCTATTTTTTTTCTTTTGCACAGGGCCTCCGTTTTTCTAGGACTGACCCTGCTTCTTTACTCTCTTTGCTGCTGCAAGACACTCTAAATTTTTTATGATGAGAGTAGATTTCAAGTAATGGGATGTGGGTGGACTAGCTACAAACAATCATCTTATGAGCTTATTGATTTCCCCCATCTTCTCAAGAATTCCAATTTTTTTGTTTCTATAATCTACAGCTCGGTGTGGAACATAATTCTTGGAGTTGCAAAGGTACATTCATTCGCCAGAGAATACTTCTTAGAGCATTCACGTTCATGATACTTAAATAAACGGATTTTTTTAGTGACACGTAGATTTTTTCAAAATAATATATCATCTTCTAAATTACATCATTTATAATCTCAAAATAATCAGATATTTTGTGGGTCCTGCACTCACTAATTAATACTAATTTCACAATAATCTTGAAATAATCTAGATTCATCATTCATGTCTCAATCCCAGATTATTTTGTCAAATAATCTCCATCAATCAATCATGACCCCAAAAATAATCTGCCACATCACTAACTTAATTCTCCAATAATCTCATGTATGAGTTTTCAAATTTTAATTAATATTCGGAGCAAAATCTTAAGGAGTCATATTTATTCAAATATAAAATATTTATAATAAATTGCTTTATTCATACTACGTATATCATATGGCCTTTAATGTAATTTGATATTGTCCCGACACTTTTTCAGCTCTTGTTGCCAAACGGGTGTATTCCATTCAGTTAACAATCCAATTCAACACTTCAAGTTCAGTTCCAGACAATTATTTCTAATTGAGACGATAGTTCCTAATGATGTTTTTACTTGGACTGTAATTTGTCCCAGACCAGACCAGACCAGACCAGACTTGGATAGTTATAAAAATACAAAGAAACCAGACCAGACAAGACCAGATCAGACCAGACCAGACCAGACCAGACCAACAAATTACATTCCAAGTAAAAACATCCTAATTCAGACATTAGCCTCCAGTTTCAGGTCGTTGTGTCAAACATAGCCTAAACCAAACCAGATCAGACATTGACGATTGTAAATCACATAGAGATCACACATCATGATCATATCAGACTTTAAAATTCCACTCCAATTAAAAACAGCCTAAAATCTATTTTTAAATTTATCTTATACACAAGGGAAAAAATTAAAATATTTCAAATTTTGAAGAGGTGTGAGGTAAACACCTTAAAATTGCATGTGTAATTTCAATATCCCAAACTTTATATAAATAGTTATGTTAACATCACGACCATATCATTTTCATCATAAATTATGAGATCATAAATTTTAAATTAATGTATGACTGTTGTGCTAAGTTTATGACATTTACCTCATATGCCTTCAAAGTTGAAGTATTTAAATTATAGGGAAAATCACTATTAGCCCCTTGAGGTTATGTCATAATTATTAATTGAACCTTGCATTTTCAAAAATTAATTAGTCACTCCCTGAGTTTTTATCATTCTCACTGTTTGTCCCCCTCACGTTAATATTTGTTAAATTAAATTTAATATAACTCTTAAATTCAATGAAAGTTATCTATAAAATTAAATTTTAAAGTAAAGTACATTATATTTTCATACTTATAAGTCATTGTTGTTGATCGTTATTTTTCTACTTAGCTACTCGATCATGGAATAAATATTAATGAGTGTAGTTAAGAGAGAAGACTCACGAGTAAGTTATTAATATCACAAATGTTTATATTTTTATTTTAAAAAATAAATATCATTTTATCTTATTAAACTAATAAACTTTTTGTGAAGAAAAAATCATACAAAATTATTAATAGAATTAAAGAAAAAAATTAATAAATCAAAATATATGATATACGAAATATACTTTAGGTCTTAGATAGATCAATAGTTTTCAAATATTTAGACCCTATATCGAACATTCTATCTTTTAGGTCTGTTATTAATACTAGACCAATCTTTTAAGTTATAGATTTATAAAATTCGTTTTGTCTTGGTATTTCTTCTTTGCTACTCACGAAAGAAATGTCATTAGATTTATTCAGCCGGATGAATTACAAATAAGACTCTTATAACACATATTTCAAAAATTTCTTTGATGTATCCCATGAATATTACTCAACTCGTGAGTCTTCTGCCTTGACTACTTCCATTAATATTTATTCCACGATCGAGTAGCTAAGCACAGAAATAACGATAAAGTAAAATGACTTATAATTATGATAATAAATTGAGTTTTTTTACTTTAAAGTTTAATTTTATAGACAATTTTCATTGAATTCAAGAGTTAAATTAAATTTAATTTAACAAATATGAATATGAGGAGACATATAGTGAGAATGATCAAAACTGAGGGGGTAACTAATTGGTTTTTAAAAATGCAAGGTTTCATTAATAATTATGACATAATCTCAAGAGATTGATAGTAATTGTCCCTAAATTATACTCTCTCCGTCCTTTAAAACTTTGTCATCTTTTCTTTTTGGGACGTCCCAAAAACTTTGCCGCTTTCCCTTTTAATCAATATTTAGTAGTTTCTGTTATTTTTCTCTCCTCTGCCCAAACCTCAACCACACAGTATTTACTTTATTATTCTCCGTGCCAGTCAACTTTGACAAAGTTTTAAGGGACAGAGATAGTACTATAGTATATGCAAATTTAAGATATTTACCTCATACTCTTCAAAGTTGAGGTATTGTATTTGAATTATTTTTTATATTAATGTGAAGAATTTGACCCGCCTATAGCCTGCGAGTCTGAGACTGCGACTACCTTCATCTGCGCGAGTCCGCCCCCATTTTCCGTGCAACGATGTGGCAACATCCGTCCACCACCACCCAGCCGTCGTCCGACAGCTCGAGACGCTGACATGTATAATCTTGAATTATTATATCAGTAGGATTTAGCGCAATCTGTAACACACTGTCCAGAACCTCAGTAATACGTAGCATATCCAGAGCAAAATTGTTAGCTGTGGCCCTTTTTTTTTACAGCGGCATGTTCTACAGAAACGTCTTGCTTTTTTCTTATGAGCTTGCTGGTATTTGATCGGAGAAGACAGAAGGAATGGAATACGGGGGGTTTGGGAAGAATTCAGGCCCGGCCGCACGTCCAAGAGCTCAATACCTACCTGGAAGCTTCCCTCGCACCCCTTCTCCACAGCCTGGATCTTTCAAGTATGAGTGTGCTTATATCTTTCCTATATACAATTTGTCTGTTGAATGAGTTATGCTTTTTTTAACACTACATGCATAGCCTGAGCATAAATCTGCCTGAACTTCCCATTTTGAGGTAATTTAAGATCTTAATTTCTTTTTGGTGTTTATGAGCTGTGGATACATGGGGAAGATGACGTTTGGGTGCTGTCTTTATCTCTCAGAAGTTTACATTGTTAAGGCGGATGATTTGGCAATAGTTAGTTACTTAGCTGTTACTACTCGCCTACTCGGATATTGACCTAGAGTAACAGTTCAGGAATACATTGGTAGCTCATTCCTGTCAGCGTGATAATTTAATAGAGCGAATGCGATTAAGTAAACCCTAACTATGTATGTTTTATGAGCTATCAGATATGTTTGTTTTTGTAGAGTAAGTGCTACTCCTGAATTTTTATCTGGTTTACAATGTCTAATGTTTCCTTTCAAATCGATGAATTACGATATTTGTATGAGTTGTATATCTACCTAATGGCTGTACATATTTGAGAAGAGTATATCACATTTGAAAATAAAATTTTTGAATGCCCAAACTTTGTGACTTCAAGCATTATATCTTGACTTCAAGCATCACAGAGATTGCATTCACTGCCATTGCCTTTGACAGACACCATGCTACCACACATCCATCCAATCCCCCTTTGGGAGTACATAGATAGTTATTTAGCAATTTGATCTATTTACGTTCTTAAAGAACTCTATACGTGGAGTTACAAATCATGGCACTGATAATTAAAAAATGGATTTTAGGTAAAGGGATTAATCACGCTGGGGCAGTGATCTGTCAGTGATTATATGTTATAAATTCATACTCTTAATTTCAGTTTTCCCAATGCATTGTTGGCACCATGTTTCATACCATATTTTGATGTCTAACTTTTTGTACACCTATTGTTGCTGTCAAGCATCCATATCCATTTGTTTTTATTTGTTTTCTTGTAAATAAAAATTTGGCAGTATGCCTAAGAATTTGTTTTGCCAGTGGTAAGGAACTTGGGTTTGTATAATGTTTTATATACTATTAAATATTATGGAGATGGAAGTGGGTTCAGTTTTGAAGCAAGTAGTTGCATGTTGTAGTAAATAAATTACACACTGCACAGTGTTTTTTATAATATTTCTTTCTTTCTTTCTTGTTTAGAGAAAGTGAATCTAGACCTAACTGGACTTATCGGCAAAAGACTGCTTACACAGACCTTGATGCCCCAACTGATATAGGACCTTCTCCATTCTTGCCTACCATTACTTCAAGTGGCACTGAAGTTGGTGTCTCTCATGGAGCTTACCGAGTTCAAGATCTGAAAAGAACAAGATCACCTCCTTCATTGCAAGTAGATGAAGAGATTATATGGAACTCCAGCACCGCCAGAGCAGGGTAAAGCTTATATTCCGGTGTGATCCCTTTGTAGATAGTTTCTTGATAACTTTTTTTGTTATTTTTCTTTTATTAATTATCTGAAAAAAACATTCTCGGTACTAATGAAGAGTCAACCTATAGTATTTCTTGCGCATCCCTGTGAATAGTGTTTGTCATTAAAATATTGAATGTTTTGAATCAAATCAAAGCTGTCTAAAAGCCAATTGATAGAGACCTAAGACTCTAAGAGTATTATTAAGTCTTTTATTATTGTGTAATAAAAAGGGTTGAGGCCCTTTTACTAATTGGAGGTGGGCTGGCCCATTAGAGAATGAATAGTATAAAGGTGGATAGAAGGGTAGAGGAAGGGAGGTGGGAATTATCGGGCTTAGGACTGGGACTTGGGAGCTGGCATTCTCTAACTGCCTTTGTATTTCTCTGTCTTCTATTATACGAAGCTTTCTGTGTTAAGCTCTTTTATTTTCTTCATCTTGTTCGTCGGTCGATTATCTGTGAATTGGCGGAAAACCTAACACCAATGCATTCTTATTACTCTCACTATAATTTCTGAAATTGGATACTCTTAGAAATCCAATTTACTTGTCTTAGCAGAAAGCATTTTTGGCATTCATATAAAAATGGAAGGTGAAGCAGATTCTAAGGAAAACGAAGTTTCTTTCAAAGATAACATGACTCATTATTCGAAGACTCAAGAAGAGATTGTGATGGAACAAAAAATTGTAGTTTCAAAATGCTAGGATTGTCCATTTGGTTATGAATTAGAGTGGGAGACGCAACATAAACATTTGCCATTGGGTTAGGAGGACAGGGAGGTAGTAGTGTACTACTGTAGCGGATCCGTTTTATAACGTAGGCCAAGACCTAGGTAATAGCTGGAGCGATGATAGAATAAAGGATCATTCTTGGTGTACACAAGCTGTACACAAAATGTGTACATTGCCTGTGTACACAGACAATTTGACATCAAGTGTTGCCCCTTTTTAAACGAATTGCCTGTGTACACAGACAACTAGGGGGGTTTTGTGTACAATTTGTGTACAACTCATGTACACTAAGCATTTCCCTAGAATAAATCAAGGTACTTGTTAACTCGTCAGGTCAAATATGACGAAAGCTGAATCATTTTGTCCGGTGGTGTTGTTTATTTATTTTTATAACTTTACATTTAATACAACAAGACACTCAAAGTTGAGGGGAAAATGTGCATGTGAAAAGCAAAACACTACACGTTCATAATTGAAATCATTTTTCATTTTCATTTACCCCAGTGCCGCAAAGGCTCCCACCTATGGTGGGGTAAGGGGGGGTCGGATGTACGCAGTCTTACCCCTGTACAAAAGTACAGAGAGACTGTTTCCGGATGACCCATAGTGAAAATCGCGTCCAAAATTGCATGGACTGACTGCTGGTTCATAACAAAGAAGCGCAGACAGTTTAGTGAGCCATTTTGCTTTATTCCATCATATTCGCAAGCCAAAAAATAATGAATCTTTGGCTCCATTGCATATGATGGAAAGACGTTCATAATTGAAATGAAAGTTAAAAATAAAACTAGTCTAAATTCTATCCAGTATCCACTACATTTCATGAAGAAATTATAAATTGTTCTTCATCTATTGAGGCTCATCAATCACTCTAAAATTCATATATATTGAAATCATTATATTTTAACTCAATAGTGGGAAAACCAAAACTGTAGTAGGCGTCTGACGAGTGACGACCCATAGTATCACTTGGTCACATTACATGACATGAATCGAAATGTGTTGATACATGTTAGCTTATCCCAAATTCTTTTGGGACCAAGGATAGGATGTTGTTGTAGTGGGAAAACCAAAACTAAAATATCATCTTGAAGCAGAGGATTAGATGAAAACGATTATCTGAGCAAAAAAACATGTGAACTAGCTCAACCATTGGTTCTGATATGGTTCAACCGCCTCACAATATCGCAATCAGTTTAGAGGGCTGCCCAACAGAGTTAAGAGGACACTAATTTGGTCTAACTAGGTTTTGTCGTCTGGTTGTTTATATTTCGGCCAAGAAAGAGGGACTACTGTATTAATCATGATTAGTATTACCCACCCAGTGAACTTGGAGAATTTGCGCACAAGCATCTGATATGATAGAAAGTGTTGGACTAGATAAAATCTTTTCGTGAAAGTGAGCCATGTTTGAACGAGAGGTGGCACGAGCAAAAACCGTGAAGGGTTAAGGTTTTGACTTTTGACATAATGCAATAACCTCCTCCAACTTCTTAAAAGAATCTGGATTGCATGGTCACTCAGCAGTCACATTCACCACATTTATTTTCCAGAACAGTCTTCCTCATGGAAATCAATTCCCTCCCTTTGGTGTTACTCAATGGTGAGTTAACTTCAACTGAGGTCAAGTGATTTGTGTGTTTGCATATGGTCTATATCTGGAGGATTTGCTGGCTTAACAGTAGCAAAGAGATCTTGAATTATGAAATCCTCTTTGTTCTTCAAGTGTTAGAAAATGGGATTAATCAAGTACTTAAATTCTTTTATTTGAAAGCATAACCAAGTAATTAAGTTCTTTTTTAAGTTCAGCTTTGATAACACTTAAACTAGGATCTCTCCCATAGTAAATCCCTCATAATAAACTGTTTGTTTCATCAATTTGGCCTGTTCTTGTCATGCAGTCCTCTGTCTTCCCCTCTGAAGGCTAACCAATTAGAGCCGCCACAAAATTTTGCGATGCCACTCGCTCAAAATATAATTCCTGCTATACCTACTTACTTAGATTCACACGATGATTGGGAAAAGGTTCCTACTAAACCTACCAATCAAGTCTCCAAGCGAAGCAGGTCACCACCTATTTTGCCTGGTAATGGAGGCAATTCAGTGTATGGTGCTTACAGTTCCAAAAGGTAGAGTATATTTTATTGACATTTTTTTCATGATATGGTGTTCACTCTCCTAACCCTTTGATCAAATTCTATATTAGGCCTTCCAGCTCTCCTCCTAAATTGAGGCAAAATTTGCCTGCCAATGCTCTTGGTTCTCAAACTCATCAGCACCCTCTTACATCTGTGTTTCATAATAATGTTGATATTGGATCAATGGAACCTATGAGCTTTCCTGTTACCAAAAGGTCTAAAATACCATCTGTACGCACATCAGATCACCCCCTTCATGATGACAGCTATACTGTTCAAGATGATAATGAACGGTATGATATCACACTAAAGAAACAAGTTGGCTTTAGATTGCTTGTCACAAGTTCTGCATTGCTGACATTATCATCCCATTCATTTTAGTGAACTGGATGCCAAAGCTAAGCGTTTGGCCCGCTTCAAGGATGACTTAGACCAACCACTACGAAGTGATCCCGTCTCTAGAGATCAGAGAGTTGTTGCGAATACACAATATCAATCTGTGGCTGACAGACAGAAACTAATGGAGGAATCAAGTGTTGATACTCCAGAATATTTGTCTATCGGGAATGCAGTATCTGATTATGATGGCCCCGATTCTTCTGGTATCATAGTGGGGTCATGTCTAGACATGTGTCCAGGTAATGTTTTTACAGTTTCCTCATGTCTCTCCACTTCAAAGTTTGATCTCTTGAAAAATATAGTGATGTTACTTGTTTAGTCTATGAGCTTATCTATTGCTGCACAAACAATTTTTTCAATAGACTCCATGCTACCCTTTACAAACTCACATATTTATTTCATTCTCTATATGCTTTTCATGAATTACGTAAGAATTTAAGTGGATTCCTCCAAACCTAGAAACCTGGGTTTAGTTCCCTCTTTTGCATTGTCTTGTCTCCGACTTTATTTCCTGACCTTCATTTCGCTTCAATGTGATTTTTTTCATTCTAAATACTGATAGAGACCTGGACTTATGGGCTAAAATATTTTAATAAAATGTAATAGTGGGCTGGGCCAAATAATTAGACAGATTGAGGGAAGCCTCATTTGGAAAGGAATAAATAGAAGGAGTAGAAGAGGGAGAGGGTAGGCTGGAATTCAGTTGGAATTAGGCTGGGAGAGTGAGGCCTCTCGAAGAGTCTCGATTTCTTTCTTTTATTTCCGCACCTGTAAAACTCAGATTACCGTCAATTTACTACCTGTTTTACCGTGTACCTATCAATGGTATCAGAGCAGTCGACCCCGGGAAGCGTGGAGAAGCGCTCTGGTTTGCGCAAAGAAGATCGACGGTCAGAACTGACCGCCTCTGGTTCGCGCGGAAAACTGGAGAGGCATTCAAACAGGGAGAACCGTTCAAATCTGGAGAAGGTGAAGGGCTCAAACCTGGAGGAGAAGCGCTCAAACCAGGAGAAGGAGAACCGCGTGAAGAGCAGGGAAAAGGTAGAAAGTGATTGGGAGAAAAAGTGGAGGATCTGGCTAGATGAGTTTCGCACCAAGTTGCGCCAACAACGTCGCCGGCGTGGACGATCGCGGACCGTGCGACGCTGCCAGAATTCGAAGAAAAAAGCTTCATCGTCATCGCAGACCGACTCTAATAGTTCGCAGGTTTGGTCTCAGTCGCAAGCAACTACTCCCAGTTCGCCAACTTCGCCACCCGAAGATGTCCCCAGTTCACAAGCTCTATCGCCAGCTGATCCCTATTCGCAAATTTCAACCTCCCCTCAGGAGTCAGATAATCAGCGGCAACCTTCCGGTATTTTTTCTACGCGCCCCAGAGAAAAGGTAGAAGACGAGAGAGTCCATTTGGGTCCTAACAGTGCTGAGGATGTTCAGAAGGTCGCCAATCTAGAGCAAAATTCCGCTAGAGAAGATGACAATTCTTCTCTGGAGAAGAAACCGCTGTCCATGGTCGGTACTGGTGACCCTGGAAAAAATGGAGAACAGGCAGAGTGTTTTGAGCCGGAAGTACCTCAGGCCCTTATACCTGGAGTACGTTCTGTGGCTACAAGAGCTATTGGCTCCCCAAACTTGCTTCAAAACTCATTCAAGCTCCTGGTAGATTCATTGAGGCACACAGATGCAGAAAGGTTAACAAGAATTTTCATAACATGCTTAATGAAAGAGACTAAAGCAGAGTTGCAACACTGTCATTATGAATACGTTTCTGAATTCGGGGATAAAGCCCTGTTGTTGGAAGAGAAGAACAGGGCTGTAAGGAGAGGAAAGTACAGAGTTGAAGACATGAGGGGATGGAAGGAAAAAGGGGGCTGTATGAACAAACCTAAACATTGGGTGGAAGGATTGAGGGGAAGGACACCTACGAGTAACAATCAACAGGCTGAGATAGAAAGACAACGGAGTAAAGAGGGAATTACAACGCAAAAGGCCTTCTGGGTGCCAGGACAATTAAATGACCAAGATGGAGGCAAAATCGTGGTAATCTGTATTGATTGTGTAGCTACTCACAAGCTTGTCCCACAGGAATTGGTTAAAGATATGGAGCTGGTCTATAACACAACACCTAAGTTGCTGAGGGAGATGGAGCATGGGGAACAGGTTTTCAATAATGGTATATGTAAAAGCTTACAGATATGGGTGCAGGGTTTAATTATCATTCACACTTTTTTACTAGAACCGGGTGGAACTGATATAGTACTGGAAAGGGAGTGGTTGACAAGAGTAGGGAATATTGAAGTTAGTTACAGAAGATTGAATGTTCCTGGATCTTTAAGAGCATTGTTGGACAACGAAACCAGCAGAGAGCTTGTCAGGACCCACTTGCATTCCCTCCTCAGAGATTATTTAAATGATTTTCTTGTTGGCAAGAGGCTTCGGTGGCTAAACTTTTGCAACTCTCTGAAGCGATGTGGAACTGTACATATGATGACTAATGGAAGGGAGGCCGCTCTTGAAGTTCAGTCCCTCGGAGTGTTAGAATCTTGTGCTGTGAAGAACACTAATTGCTATTCATTAAGCATGTATCAGGACCTGTTGGGGTCAACAAGACTTTATAATGATGAATGGGTGAATATTTTTATTACCTATGTTGTCTTGAGGCTGACAATATTGGATAGCAAAAGATGGCAAAAGGTAATTGTGCATAAACTGGAGGATCAGGTAAAAGACATATATACAACAGAGAGGAGGATTCAAGCACAGGCGTGGAAAACCAATATTACTATGATGAATGTTGGGCCTGATGCTTTTGTATCTACCACTGAGCCCAATCTCATAATGAACCAGTCACATTTTTTTCTAATCGGAACAGAAATTGGCATATTCTCACATGTTACTGCTTCGCTGATACCGGGACAAGATGTTTGTGGAGCCCTTGAGGGTGAAGGTTCCAATCAACAAAGCACTGAAGGTGCTAGAAACTCTACCCGGAGGGGTGTGGAGATTCGGTTACTTCCCATGGGGACTTTGGTTGCCATCCTGGATGCATCTCGAGGTTCACTGGAGTTCTTCAACTCATTTTTGGGTAATGATCTAGATGTATCAAAAGGTGAGGATTGGAAGTTAAAAGTGGTTCATGGGATCGATGGCAGAATAATATCCATGGACTGTCCTGCTACTGGAACTCAGTGGCTTTACAGCAGAGTTGATCAAAACGGATATGCAGAATATAGTGGATTTGGGTACAGATCTGCTGGATGCATTGAAGAGTATTATGTCATTGAAAAGGATCAAGAGCATGCAGGAGGAGTCAAATTTTTTGCATTACAGGGAAATACAGAAATTTTGGTTCAATGGAAACAACTACCAGATTTGGATGATTTTTGGGAAAGTTTTAGCAAAGGCCAGGAGGAATGGATGACAAAGGTTCAAGTACCGAAGCTAAAGGAACTGAAATCAGAGAGGTACTGGGAAGGAAGGGGCACGAGGATGAAGCTGGATGGCATAGCTGCTCTTACTCCCCACCTTGAGGACAAGGTGGTTGTCAAAGGGGGGAGTGATGATAGAGACCTGGACTTATGGGCTAAAATATTTTAATAAAATGTAATAGTGGGCTGGGCCAAATAATTAGACAGATTGAGGGAAGCCTCATTTGGAAAAGAATAAATAGAAGGAGTAGAAGAGGGAGAGGGTAGGCTGGAATTCAGTTGGAATTAGGCTGGGAGAGTGAGGCCTCTCGAAGAGTCTCGATTTCTTTCTTTTATTTCCGCACCTGTAAAACTCAGATTACCGTCAATTTACTACCTGTTTTACCGTGTACCTATCAAATACTCCCTCCGTCCCGACAAGGTTGGCCAAAGTTGACTTTCATGTGGATTAATAAAGTAAAAACTGTGTGGTTGAAATTTGTGCAGAGGAGAGAGAATTTATTGTAGCCACATATTCCTTACTTTAAATGGAAATGACAAATCTTTTTGGGACATCCAAAAAAGGAAATTTGGCCAACCTTTTTGGGACGGAGGGAATACTGTAAAGTGTAAATGGTCTGTTTTATACTATTATAGTCCAAGAGCAGATTGAAAAGAAATTCCTACTTGTTTTGCCTTTTGTGATTCAGAATCAGAGAGAGCAGAACGGGAAAGAAAAGGAGATCTTGATCAGTATGAGCGATTAGATGGAGAACGAAATCGTTCCTGTAAATTTCTTGCTGTTAAGAAGGTATACATATTCTTGGATCTCAGAGTTAATATCCCACTAAAGGAAAGTTTATAAGTGAAATACTTAAGGTACTTGGTTTTCATCAAGTCGCACAAACCAAAGCATAGCTGACATTCTTAAATCATTTTTCAGTACACTAGGACCGCTGCGAGAGAAGCTGAGCTCATTCGTCCAATGCCAATCCTGCTGCAGACAATGGATTATCTACTCAATTTACTGAATAAGCCCTATGATGATAAGTTTCTTGGCTTGTATAACTTCTTATGGGATAGGATGAGAGCTGTCCGTATGGATCTGAGAATGCAACATATTTTTGATCTTGAAGCTATCAGTATGCTGGAGCAAATGGTTCGTGCATTATGCTGAATTCTACCGGTCTGCACATATAGTTCAAAATTTATGAAGTGATCTCTTCAAGTATGCTACATTATAAGATTTTGAAAAGATAAAACAGCAAGCAATTTGAAGATTGGGGATTAATGGGAAAAGGGGCAAATAAGCCCTCGAACTAATCAAAAAAGTGCAAATAAGCCCTTTTGTAGGAGGTTCCGTCCGGTCATCGTCATTTGGGGAGGTTCACGGTGGAATTTTTTGATGAAAATTTTTGAGCATCTTATTCATTAAGTCTAGTTTAGTCCTACTGAATTTCAGCTAAAAATTCAACCGGGAAGACAGTCAAATGAATTTTTGAAGATAACTGCACAGTTAAACAACGCAGTATTTTTCCGAAAATCATTTGAGTGCCTTCCCGGTTGAATTTTTAGCTGAAATTCGGTATGGCTAAACTAGACTTAATGAAGAAGATGCTCAAAAAAATTCATCAAAAAATTCCACCGAGAACCTCCCCAAATGACGATGATCGGACAGAACCTCCTACAAAAGGGCTTATTTGCACTTTTTTTATTAGTTCGAGGGCTTATTTGCCCCTTTTCCCGGGATTAATTTACTTGATTGATTTTACTCTGTTTTGATTTCCATACCTTCATTAGCTAATGTATTTTAGGAAGTGATTTTTATAGGGTTTCCCATTCCTTGATTTAGGCATCGCTGTGCATGTTATCCCTATTATAAAAGGGAGTTTTTTTGTGCAAATAAGTTATGAGTTATCTAAGAAAGAACCAAGAATCAAGGGGAATGAAAGACCCCCAGATTCCAAAGGAGAAGGAAAACCCCTCAAATCCCAAAGTTGTTGAGAATATGAATATCATTTGCTTTTAATCAATCTTGTATGCCTTTTCTTTTAAATATTGGAGTATTGTGGTGGTGGTTATGAATTATGGCATCAGACCAAAATCCTGAATTGAACATACCATGACATCTTTGGTTGAAGTTAGCAATCCCTAGAAATAAAAGACAGCAATAGTTACTAGGACAGTTTTTTGGTAGTTCTTTTAGTTTGTTCTTTTTTTTTGGGCTTTGAAAACAGTCACATTAATGCTTCATTCAAAAAAGTAAGTGAAAGTAACATGGGGTCATATTTCATCTGTCAAGTGATGAAGAATTAGTAAATATGAAATTATGGGTGGGAAGTTTAGGAGACACATGTAGGAGCTGGTTGCTGGGGATAGTTTGTCGAGTTTGGGCATGTGCCAAATGTGAATAATTGGATTTTTCATTTTCCAATGCTCCTTAATATGTAGAGATACCTGAAATAGGACTAAAAAGTTTGAAAATTCCAAAATAGGACTGCCATGTTTTAATTCCCAAAATAGGACTAATTACTGTCATGTTTTGCCAGTACCAGACTTCAAACATGGCAGTATTTTCCAAACTTGGCAGTAATTACTCCTACTTTGGGAAAAAAAAACATGACAGTCCTATTTTGGAATTTTCAAAAACAGTTTTAGTCCTATTTCGGGAACTTTCCCTAATATGTATGCACTCTTGTATTACACTGATACTGATCATATTTAACATTACTAATACAACAACAATAACATTACCCCAGGGTACGCAGTCTTACCCTTATACAAAGAAGCGCAGACAGTTTAGTGAGCCATTTTGCTTTTTCCATCATATTCCCAAGCCAAAAATAGTGAGCCTTTGGCTCCATTGGAAATGATGGAAAAAATATTTGACTTTACTAATGCATGGATATAATTTTTTAGCCGCACTAATAGACTCGAAGTGACACTTTTAACATGAACATGTACATTTTAACATGGACAAATGAACTCAAACACAAGCACTTCAATTCGAACACTCTACTCCCACACGTGTACTTGAAAGTTGAACTGGGTTAGCAGATTTCTTCTCCCCACTCAACATCATGATTCGACATGGTTGTCATAAAATAATGAAAATTGCGCGTGAGGGTTTTAGAGAAGAGACAAGGTAGTCTTTAGTTGGAAAGTTTCAGCGGAAGTTGGCTCATGCTGCGGTGAATGTGTGACCCGATAGGTTCAATTTTACTAAAACTCAAAGAAACAGATAGTACTTCAAACTTTACTATTCGGACCATGTTGATAATAAGAGTTCTGTTGATATTCATTGGCGCATTCCTTCATTGATACATTATACATATTCATAGGTAGATAAAGAATCTTCCCTTGATCAAGAGCCCTTAAAGTACTTTCGAGTAGGACTATGACAGTAAGACATTTTATACATTATCCATCTTGTTAGTCAAATTATACTATTCACTAACACAAGAATTTGAATTGGGACCCGGCGGTGAAAGATATGACATGTTTTTAATGTTTTCTGCTGACAAAATGTAAAGGGTAGAAAAGAAGTGAAATGAGTAGGAAAAAAATATCTTGGTTCCATGTGGTCATTGACATGGCCCACATGGAAGAGTTTCATCTGTCTAGATTAAGCTTGCAGTTATAGGAATTTATTTATAAAGTCAAAACACCTATTTTTACTAATCACAATAGTCTTGGTGAAGATTATTCAGAGTCTTGACTCCTAACCTGTTTTGGTATTGCTAATATAAATATCAGCTAAAATAGAGTAGTAATACCAGTAGATAAGAAACAATTATTAATACTAATAACAGGATGCTAGTTCTAAACTACTCATTAATAATACTTGGGACCCTTTTTTGGCTCCGCAAGCCCATATAGGAAAGGTGTTGTATGGTTGGATCAACATGAGTTTGATGTAGGATAGGTACATTGAGGTTGTTTGGGGTGGTGTGGGTTGGCAATGAGATGTTCTGCTGTTGGGTATCTATTTTTGAACTGAATACCAGAGTAGTAATAACCATGTTGATCGTAAATTTGTAATCAGAAAATAAAATATTATTATCATACATTTAATTATTTATTTATTTATTTATTTATTTTTCGCATGAAATATAAAGAATTAAGAGAGATAGAGGGTGGAAAACAGAAACAAGAGTATACCAAATGTAAAAGTCACATGTCCGATGTCTTGTCTTAATAATATCTCTTATGGTTTCAGATACGACTCCACATAATAGCTATGCATGAATTATGTGAGTATACAAAAGGAGAAGGCTTTTCAGAAGGATTTGATGCACACCTCAACATTGAACAGATGAACAAAACATCAGTTGAATTGTTTCAGTTATATGATGACCACCGGAAAAAAGGACATAATGTGCCAACAGAGAGAGAATTCAGAGGCTACTATGCACTTCTGAAGCTCGACAAACATCCCGGATACAAAGTAAGATTTAGAGAAAGTTGCTTAACAGAGTTGTATTCCCATTTTTCCAATATCATCCAAAAATATAAAGTTATTTTGCTAGGTTGAGCCTGCAGAACTATCACTTGATTTGGCCAAGATGACACCAGTTATGCGGCAAACTCCGGAAATTGTGTTTTCTCGTGATGTAGCCAGGTAGTTCCATTATTATGTTCTGTCAACATAAAGTGTTTAAAGAAGTTAAATCGTTTTATTATTGTCTCCTGTTTTGTTGTTGCAGAGCATGCAGAACTGGTAATTTTATTGCTTTCTTTCGTCTTGCAAGAAAAGCCAGTTATCTTCAAGCATGCTTGATGCATGCTCACTTTGCAAAGGTATTTAAATAATTAAATATGACTACACCATACAATCAGTTGTGACATGAACATACATATAGCAGTGTAGTGGAAGTGACAATGACACCTAGCAGATAGTTGCATTGCAATGTACCACTTTGTTAAAGCTGCCTATGTGTTGAATTCTAAACTTTCCTAGGGCCTAGAGCTAGGTGAGATTGGGTGTGCACATTTTCTTATTATGTGGCTTCTGTACTTTAACTGATTTGATTTTGCATTGTTTTTATGTGGCACGCTAGTTGCGAACCCATGCTCTTGCTTCGCTGCACTGTGGTTTACAGAATAACCAAGGAATCCCTGTGAGCCAAGTTGCCAAATGGCTCGGGATGGAGGTACTTTGATTAGATATTTGGATATCTTTTGCAGTTGAGCTGACACTGTAGTTTTAATTTTCTGTCATCACCAATTCTAATCAGGAAGAGGATATAGAAAGCCTTCTTGTGTATCATGGGCTTGCAGTAAAGGAATTTGAAGAACCATATATGGTGAAAGAAGGTGCCTTTTTGAATGTTGATAATGACTATCCTGTCAGGTGTTCAAGACTTGTTTATGGTAAAAAGTCGAGGGCAATAGTTGAAGATGTCTTTTGTGCACATCTGGCAGAAACAGTTCATTTAAATACAGATTTAGTGACTCAGTTGGATAAGAAATTTGAGCAGAATCCTGCTCCTCGTCAGTTTCTCGAGTCTGATATTTTTGTCGAGGGAATTGATGAGGACATGCCTGATTATGAAACAAACTCATATCCGAAAGAAAGCTTGACGATGTTGCCAATACTTAGCATTCCTATGCATGCAAAGGTTCAAGATGAGAGTTTGGCAGCTCCTGCAAGTCCCCGGGCATCTGCTGCTTATTGTTCTGTAGAACCCCAACAAGGCACAATGATAAGTGCAGGAAGCCCAAAGTATTCTTCTGTCTCCTTGGGATACCATCTGGATACAGTTCAGCAAATTGAACCTATGGATGCACCTTTCCAAAATAAAGCATCAAGGGTGGAACAAGAGAGACTTCCAGCTGTGGGCTCTGACAGTGTTGAGAAACCCTCAGCACCGCATCTTTTGCCTGTTGAAGATATGGAAGATGAAGAACCAATAACTTTTTGTTTGCCGGCTGAAACTGATGTCGCAGATGCTGGTGATTACGATGAAGAAGTTGCAAATGCAAAAATTAAATTGATTATAAGGTATAACTTGCTCAACAGATTTATCCCAAGCCTGCTGTTTCTTTTCCCCATGTCAGGAATAACATATTGCCTTCGTACAGAATGTGGAAACGACATTCTTCAAAGAGAAGAGAATTGCGTGAGCAGAAAAAGCGAGAAGCAGCAGTTGCATTAAGTTCACTGTCATTGGGGCCACCAATTTGTCAGTACAAAAACGTAAGTTCAGTTTTCTTTTTAGTGGTTGATATCAAGATGTGTGCTTATAACCATGAGAGTTGTCATTTGATTAAGCATAGATGCATTTTCATATTTAAATGGGGAAATTAACTTCATATATGCTATAATGCTACTTCCGTTCCACAATTATTAATAAAGTTGTTGAAAAGTAAAAGTTGTGGTTGAGATTTGAGTAGAATACAGTGAAATGATATTAACCACATATTTCTTGTCAAAAATGGAAACAAACATTCATTTTGGGACAACCCAAAAAGGAAAGTAAAATAACCAAAATGGGACAGAGGGAGTACCAATTATCATCCGTCTACCAATAATAATACATAGTATAGTACAGTAATAGCTATTTAATATCTCAACTATGTATTTAAAAGTTTGCTACACTTTCCTATTTGGGATGTATTTAAAAGTTTGCTACACTTTTGGTAAGTTTTTCCTTTAAAAATACTCAATTACCCGTACTTTTTTCTACTTTTTATCTTCTCTTTCCTACTTTTCCACCTTCTCTCCTACTTTTTCTACACTATTCATTACCCCTACTATTTTCTCCTAAAACATTGTGCCGAAAACTATTGTAGAGAACATATAAATACGGAGGGAGTATTTATTTCTCTTTGAGAACAAGCAAAGTTTACATATTTGTGCCAATAGTGAGTGTGTGTGTGTAGGTGTAACATTTAAACCATCTAGTTGCTCTTTCTGAGTTTCTGGTCGCACCCACAAGAGGCGTCAAGGCGTAAATGTAAGGAAAGTCTACCGTGCCAATTCAGCACAGTGCCGCCCGCCTTATGAAATTGTACCCTCTCTTTGTATACATCTATCCTGGTACAAATTCATAAAGCATCTCACTCCGCTGATGGCATTGGGCACTTTTCATAAACCATGTGCACCTGTAGCAATAAAACTACCAACACATGTGTTCCTTACAACACTCATCCTCACCACTGCTCTAAAAATCGCTCTAGGCGCTCAACTAGTCCCCTACCTAGGCGGTGGTTGGGTGCTCTAATTTTAGTCTAGGCATCCCAAATAGGCGGTGGTTGGGCTGGTGCCCGACTAGCGTTTAGCGCCTTTTAGAACATTGACACTCACACATCTCATTGTGTTGCTCACACATTCTTGGGTTATTATACAGACTTCTTCCGTTCTTCAGAAACCAAGCTTGTTCAATGATTTCAACATTGATGGTGCTGTGATGAGGCGCTACGAAATTCAAGAAAAATCATGGTCAAGGTTGAATGTATCCGACGTCGTTGTCTCTAAACTTGCTGAAAAAAATAATTCTGCTAACTGCCTCTGCTGGAAAGTCATTTTATGTTCCCAAGGAGATATGCATCATTCGACAGAACCAATCCAAAAAAATAAAGCTGGCTTGTCAGCTGCTCAATGTTGGCTTCTTTCCAAGCTCATCCCTGCTGATAATGGCATTGATGACGATCTAGTTATCTCATCACCTGGACTATCCATATGGAAGAGGTGTGTTACTAATGAATCTGAAGGACATCTAATAAGTTGTTTCTCAGTTATCAAGGAAACCGAGTTCCAGAGTCTAAATGAGACGGTGATTGGTGCAAGTGCAATTATCTTCCTGGTTTTGGAGTGCTTCCCATGGGAGATCCAAAAGAAAAGACTTCATGAGCTCTTGATGGCTCTGCCTTCTGGCTCTTTCCTGCCTCTTTTGATACTAAGCAGTTCATGCAAGAACCATGTAGATCCTTCAACCATAACCAAAGAATTGGGGCTACATGACATTGATAAATCACAGGTTCACACATTCAGCATTGTTTTTCTTAAAGACGAGCCTCTGGAAAAGTTATCCGGGTTTTTTAGTGACAACCAATTGAGAAGAGGCCTAGAGTGGCTTGCAGATGTATCACCCCCACAACCGATTCTTGATTGTGTTAGAACCCGTGAACTAGTTCTCTCCCACTTAAATCCCTTACTAGATGCTTTTGATAAGACCAATGCTCAATATACAAATCCAAATGCCTTCATATCGGCTTTTAATGAAGCCTTGGATCAATCAGCTAGAGAAGTAGCTTCTGCTGCGGCTCGAGCAGTTCCTACTTGGCCCTGCCCTGAAGTTGCGTTATTAGGGCAATTTGGCAAAGAAAACAATTACGCTTTGCAGTATCTACCAAGCATTGGGTGGAGCTCTGCTTCTAAGATTGAACCACTTGTGCAAGCAATAGCCGGCTTTAAGCTCTCTACTTTTGAGGAGGATATAAGTTGGCTATACGAAGGCACGGATGATAATACTGAAGTTCAGAACCAAATATCAAAACTTGAAAATTGCTTGTTCAAATACTTCACAGAGGATAGTAAGCTGATGGGAGAACTGATAGGTGCAAAAGAGGCAAACATTATGGTACAAAAGTACACTCGGCTTGAACTCCATAACTACTCCTACTACATTGTGCCAAATTGGGTCATGATTTTCAGGCGAGCATTCAATTGGCAGTTAATGAATTTAGCCAATGGAAGGTTCTCGTCAGCATATGTCTTGAAGCAACATAAATTTTCCATTTCGCCTGAAATTGTTTATAACTGTCACAGCGAAGATAGGCCGGCATTGTATTTTGCATTGGGGCAACCCACCTTGGATGAGATGGTTGAAGTTGGATGTACCTCTTTGACATCTGATATCCTAAATGAGCAAAATGAAGGCTGCTTTGACACGGGGAGGCATATGGATTTAGATGACCATAACATTGGAAATGCTTCTAATGAAATTAAGTCATTGGGGGATGAAATGAATGTTGTCAAGGATGATGGATTTGCTCTATCCTGTAATAATAATGATAATCATGTAACAGAAGTACTCAAGAAGGAAAGTAACAAATTGAGTGAGTTGTTAGAGAAGTGTAATCTCTTGCAAAACATGATAGATGAGAAGTTGTCTGTTTATTTTTAATTCTTTATGGCATATGTATTGTTACATTGTAGACTTGTAGTATATAACTGTAGTATTGTTGCAGGCCATGTAAATGGCATATCTTCACCCACATGGTAAATAACTGGAAGAGTAGAAGATGATCTAATCGACCCATTTCCATTTTTATATTTCTATAACATCATTAAATGGTCTGTATGGTATGTGGTTTGTAGGGGTGGACTCGGGCCGGGCAGCCCGGCCCGGAACCGGCCCGGCCCGGTCACTGTTTGAACCGGCCCGAACCGCCGGCCCGGCCAGGGACCGGTCCGGGTAGGCACGACCCGCTGGGGTTCCGGGCCGGGCTCGGGCCCTTGAAAAGGTGAACCGGCCCGGCCGGTTCGGGCCCGGGCCGGGCCTATTTATTTATTTTTCCTTTTTTTTTTGATTTTTTTTTAAGTATTTGGGTTGGGCTGGGTATTTTGGGCCATTTGAGGTGGTTTGGGTTGTTTTGGGGGTGAGGGGGGAGGGTTGGGGGTTAATTAGGAAAAGCCAAAAAAAAATTAAGTTGAATTGAGGTGGTTTGGGTTGTTTTGGGGGTGAGGGGGGAGGGTTGGGGGTTAATTAGGAAAAGCCAAAAAAAAATTAAGTTGAATCGAGGCCCGGCCCGGCCCGAACCGGGCCCGGGGGTTACCCGGGCCGGTTCCGGGCCTCCCCTTTCATGAACCGGGCCCGAACCGGCCCGAGTCCACCCCTAGTGGTTCGTCGTGTCTAAAATGGAAAGTCCATTTGAAGACACATCAACCCATTTAAAATTAGCACACTCCTTTTTATTTTAGTTGACACCATAGGTATTGCACGGAAAAGTAGTAGGGGTAGGGGATAAATATTAAGATACAATTATACAGATAGTATAAAGAAGGGAAAAACTATGAAAACTAAAAGTGAAAAATAGGGGAAAAAAAGAGGTATGAGTTTTTAAATATCAAAACTTGGCATATAATAAACTTTTCAAAAAAGAATACATTAAGTAGAAAAACGGGAGCAACTAAGATGATAAACAACTCAAACGTAAGAGGTCATATTATAGAGCTGATGAGTTCTGTCACATGTAGTCTTCACACTATTGTGTCGATATTTTAGTGAGTTTGCACTTTTAGTCATAGATTTGGGTGTGAGTTTGCACTTTCAGTCATCTCACTATTGTGAAATGTGGAAGTGGCAATCTGGTTATCTTGACTCATTGTGTCAGGGACTTGGGGTTAGACGGTTAGACCTGTTCCGGAACTTGGTCCGACACTGTTTGGGACCGGACTGGGTCCGAGAAATCCGGTTTGGGCTTGGGATCACTCATAGTTCGCCCAAGCATGTTACCCGGTCCCGGTTCACCCATTTGGGGATTGAACCGGGCGGTTCAGGACTCGGTTTTGATCTTGGGTTGGCCATTTTTTGGCTTGGGAATTGTAAAAAATGAAAAAAATTAGAATGGGACCAGACTGCCCGGGTAGTCGGGTACTATAGTGGTGTAAGCGAGTTGATCTCGAACATGGATATGCTTGAGTTTGAGTTTGATAAGAATTTATGATCTCGAGTTCAAGCTCGAGCTTGAACGAGTTAAATAATTCGGGCTCGAATTCGAGACGAGTTTAGCTCGAGCTCGGGTCAAGTTTTGCTAAATGTTTTTTATAGGTTTGAGCCTAAATAAGATGCTCGAACCCAAGCTCGTATTCGAAGTAAAAATAAAACTTCTATTTTTCTGATGCTGATATATGGACCAACTTTGGGGACACATTCGATAGTCGATACAGTTAGTTACAACCGCATTTGTGAACTTGCCAACACGGAGTATAAGCATCTCTTCATCTGAGGACTACCCAAGGTTTATGATGTTGTAGTTCCATTTGTTTAGCATTTCATGAACAATGATACATAAGAATAGTTAAATGATGGTAATTTTGAACGGTCTGTTTTGGTAAAGACACTACTAATTGGAGATTATCATTCAAGTAGAAAATGAGCAGCTACCTCAGCAAGATAGAGGTTTTGGTATTATTGTGGGCTGAAAATCTAGGATTGTTAGATGCCCGGCCACTTTTACTGCAAATACGGAGTAGTTTTTAATCCTTAAAAGTAGAAATGAATATGCTCTTAGCATTTTTTGGCTCTTTAAAGTCAATTTGACTTAGTGGCGGAACCAACACGAGTGACTTGGAGGGGCACATTAGCACAAATCATACTACATATATATATCATGAATATAGTAATAGAAAACAATAAAATTTAAATAAAACAACTAATTAAAGAATACCTTAATTATTTTGATAAGAAATTGATGTGTCAAATTTTAGGAGAGGTTAGTTGACTATTTCCGAGAGCATTTGAGTTCATTACCATATCTATATTCCAACTAATTAAATCCTTCCTTTTCAAATGATCTCTTGCCCACCAAAATACGTCTGATGAATAAATTAAATTATTCGATGAAGAACCACTAATACTAGCCGTTACGATTGGAGTATAAAACCGTAACGTAGGAATTGTTTGTAAAACAACCAAAAGACTACAATTGAAATAATATGAGTATAACTCTAAAAATTACGTTAAAACAAACTAAATACAATTGAAATAATGAGTATATTTGTAAAAAATACATTTTAACAAAATAAATAGACAAATTTAAAATTACAATACATTTAACACTTTCAATGGGATCATGATAATAGAATTGCAAGCAAAAGATTTCAACAATTTATAAAACATTAAGATGAAGATGGGAGCACCAGAGAATAGGTCCGTAATCGGAAGAGGGTCTGGAGGGATGGTCGCCGAACATTTTGACTTACTTTCATGTGCTAATCACGTACATGAATATCATTTATGAAAAGATCATGAAAAGATTGTAGATTATAGAAGTTTAATAGTATAATGTTCAAGAAGACTTGTTTATAAATTACATTTTGAATTCTTCATGAGGTTGGGTGTCTTCTATGTTTACATGTTCATTTCAATGGGTGATTTTTCTATTTAGCAGTGAACTATGGACTATGGCAATGTAATTCTTCTCACCTGAGCAAAGAAAGATGGCCGTTGTGTGTGCACGTTAAATACTAAAAAAATGTTTAATAAACTGTTCCTTTCTCTTGTGAAAATAATCATGTTTAATAAATAAGATCGCCAATCATGTTTAATATTGGCAAATTTTATATTTCTCTTGATGTGTATATTCACTATGTTATCACGTGTGCATCCCGAACTAGATCAAATAAGAACTAGCGGTGTTCTAAGTTGTACTTTGTACTAGATATATACGGTTACTTTTGTGATTTTTCGTATAGAATTAGAAAAAAAAATGTCTAGTTCTTCTGTGGGTTTGCATATATTTTTATTTTATTTTTGGGGGTTTTTCATTATAAAGGAATGTTTAAAACTCTTATTTTGGTCGCTATAAATGTTAACATGCAAAATACTAAATGCAGATCTTATCAAATCAAGGTATACGAAGTATTATATATACATATTTTCCAATAAAAACATTTTTGACAGTTTTTTTAACAGTTAAACATATTGAACACTTATTTAATCGCGCATCGCGCGTATGAAAACTAGTACCTATATAAGATTGGTTCATCATTCCATTTGTTAGGATCACAGAATGAAAAATAAGCTTGTACAAATTTATATTGACCGGTCCTTTACAATTGATGTACGTTTTTTTTGCAAAAAAATGAAGTATTACCATATGACTTCTGTTGGTCCCTGCACATTTTTTAATCTTAAATTTTTAAGATTTTGCTCATGTCTTGGGGCGGAGCCAGGACACTGGAACAGTGAAACTGTTACAAAGAATATTTTTTGGACAAATATTTACATGAAATGTTTACCTTAAAAATTAAGGCATTTTTAAAAATTGAGGTGGGTCAGGGCCTAGGTTGGTCCCCCTCTTGATCCGCCCATGACTAGTCGAACAAGCTTGGGTTATGAAAGTCAAACCCACAAAAAATCAACTAATGTATAGATGATCACTTTCATATATTACGTATCCAAGTGCTGTATATGTGGTATTATGGCATGAGAGATAGACACATAAGAGTATTAAATTGGAGTATTAAATTGCTAATACAGTATATTGTAACTTGCACATTTAGAGATGTTATACAATACAAATGTTTATAGTGTAATGATCATAAAATATCTTATTATGTAATTCTCAAAAAGCATTTAGTTTTTAACGATAGAAATGGGGTAACTTGATGAATTATTTGCTGTTGGAATGCTCAATATAAGAAATATTCTCTAATAGTTTAATTATTTTGTGAAAATAATAAAATTCTCATCCTCACGTTAAACCATAGCCCTAAGGATTGTGGTTAGCATGACCCTTAAAATACGGTTATGTATAACATCATATCTATTACAACGTAGACCATTTTTGCTAGAAAAGATAGAAAATTAGAAAGCATAGGTGTACCGGCTCCATAAAGCACCACAAATACACCCTAACTTCACAACCCAGCGAATGCTAGCTATTTTGTGCGAATATTCAATACTGTTAATAAAAGAAGCATTTGAAATAATTTAAAAAAAAAACATAAAAGTTCAAAATTCAGCGTGTCATCAGTCCTAAGGAAAATCGTTCCATGCACTTATGCAGAATACCAAATCCATGCCAGTACTATCTGCAACAGATTCTCTGTGAGTTAATTACAAATACAATCCCGCCATAATAAGAACTGGACATAAAAATGTAATCTTTATATGAGGGGAACAAAATAATCTTTATATAAGTTGCCAGTGGACTCACGAATTAAACTTTTGGTGTCGGGGCAATCGGGCATTTTCCTAATGTATTCCACAAAATGTAATCACCAGAAGTGACCTGTTGAATCCATACCAAAGACAACAAGAATAGAGCTCAATTCTCTCAGAATCCAAAAGGAAATTTCAGAAAAAGATAATATTATGGTGTCCAAGGCTCCAAGCTAAATGATGTGTTGTACAGATGTAAAAAGTGAGACAACTCTTTGATAGGGACTTGGGGCAAAATAGGGCTAATAATAGGAATATTAAATATTTTGATATTAAAACAGACATTGGATGGCCTTAGAGCTAGAGAAATCTATATATTTGAAGATAGTAAAGTTGTTAACCACATACAGGTAATGGAAATATGGGTAATTCAGGGCATGAAAAGTTTTGATTTATCGTCATCCGAGCTGTAAGAGAAGTTAGAAATAACTATAAACTGAAGTCAATACCTGACTTGAGAATTCCACAGGTGCTTTGACAGTTGGGAAAATGGTTACCTGCATATATTACTGCACATTTAGGGTTCAAAAGTAGTTCTAAAAAGGGATAAAAAAAAAAGTCCACGTGATCTTTTTCTGCATTCACAACACTAGTCTTTTAGGTCATGAATATACATACATGTTTGGGATCAATCGTCATTCCCGATACAGACCCACCCACAATTTTGAAAGAAACCTGAAATCACGGCAATAACCAGTCATGATATAGTTAGTTACTTGATATGTGTGTGTGTGTGGGACAGTGGGAGTATAGGAGAAACAACAAACAAATTGGCAAGGTTCTCTCTGTGTGGTGTTCATGATTCAGAGGAGAATTTACTTTAGCATAATCGTATGCCTGCCAACAAAATGGCTCCTCCAAGTCAACTGCTTGAAGGTCCTTGCTCATTTTTTCCATCAAGATATCTTCCACATTAATTGCATGGTTAGTTGAGTCTAATTCATCATCTTCATCGTCCACATTTCCGAGGCTTTGTGTTTTTAAAGGAGCAAACTTAACCGTTCCAGGAAATGTTGCCTCCACACTCTTCCCTGAGACTCCCCGACCAGACATCATAATTTTCCATTCAACTGAGTGCTCGGTGATTGAAACTGTTCCTAGAGAAGGTGTTCCATCAAAAGAAACCACTTTCCTCCTAGGAAAGGGCATGGATACCGAACAAAAATCCATGGAAAGTGGAGCCCTATAACCTTCCATTAGACACAATTTGAACAAAAAAGCACCTTCATTCTCTGAGACCATTGAAAGTTGGTAAAATCCCTTTATTGGGGGGCCAATGCGGCAAAATGCCTGGTAACGCATTAACACAAAATTCCCTAATGGTGGAGAGAACATCAATGCTTGCTTATCATTGCCATGCTCTGGAACTTGAGCACAATGATGAAATGACAATAGCTCTAGATGAGCAGTGTCTAACCCGGTTAGAGGAAGCATGACATCAGGCATCCCCTCTATCTCCGCCCGGCAATTCACTTGACCTGAAACCTTTATGCTATCTGGAATCTCATCGCGGTCATACAGTGCAGCATGAATGGTCTCATGAATTGTGAAGAGGATTCTTTGCTTCCCTCCTCTGTAAAGATAAGGCTTCCATGCTGGTTGTTTGTTGTCTGTAGGAGGCATATCTGATGATGAAAATCCATTAATCTTAATCGATGAAATATTTGTGTAGTTCAGGTCCAAGGGTGTACCTATGAAAAAGCAGGCGACCAATCAACCATGAAATATAATGTTAGCAGCAGGAAAAGAAAAAACACGATGGGGAATATCATAATAATGGAATACCAACCAAAAGGCATAGCGCTACTAATAAAAGATCGAATAGCATCCTTATCGATGGGCCTTAACCCAGCCTTTGGACCATCAGTTGTCATTGCTCCACCACTACCACTACTGGAAACTGTAGGTGCTGCAGCTGGTGAACCCCCAGGCTTTGCTCTTGCTGAAATACCAATACCTCCAGTGATAGAATCCAACAATCCTCCAACAGATGGAGAAGCGTTTATGACTATTTCTGGTTCTGTTACATCTCCGGTTATAACATCTCCAAGGATATGTGCCACCATAAAAGCCCTGTGTTATACAAACTTGCAATTTATGCAGTTGAACAGGTTATACCAAATATCAGAAGAACCGAATCAAACAACATCGACTTTAAACCATGTAAACGAAAAGTCTAAACCTGAACAAGTGAGCAATATTTCCAGAACTTATTCTGTATTGCCCTCTAAAAGTTTCAAAAATGATTTTGATCATCCTCATGGTCAATGACGAATATTGTTACCACCACCAAGTAGGTTTAGATATAGTGCAAATTGCCTCCTTATGTTTAGCTAAGAGTGAAACTAACATGAACCACAATTAACAAACTGAAGAACGAGAGCAGAAATAGGGATACCAATTTTATAGACAGTTTAAGAGAAATTCATCTAAAGCCCTCTTAGTTGAAAATTTGTTGTTGTCTGTGTATTGACACTTTCTTAAACAACCTCAGCAAACCCAAAAATGACAAGACACTTCAACAACAACAACAAAACCCAAGCACAGGTAATTAGACCACAAACCACCATTTCAATTTATGGATAAATGACAACCACTAGCAGCAGCTGTAGAGGGATGTCTTTATTTTAATTTTATTTCATTCTGGAATGATAGTGGGTGGTGACTTAATACAAATGAAGAGGAAGGGGCCATATCACAGCAAGTAAATAATAGGTTAGGAGAGCGAGGAAGAGAATGTAGCTTCGAAAATCGATGAGGGCAGAGGGTGAAAGAGATAGTGGTGAAGAATGAAATAACAGGTTTGCCATGCACAGGTAAACAGAAATTAGCATATTTTTATATGGAGTATATAAAACATTGAAGTGATTGAAGATAATTGAATGAAAACAGTTCAAAAAAGATTAGCAACACTTAACGTAGAGCTCTAAAGAAATCATGAAACGTGATGCTCTTCAAAATGTATAATTGTTTCTTTAGTGGGGGTCATTACTACACAAGGGAAATATGATTTTTAAAGTGCAGGCTACACAAAGTTCACTGAACTCAGTTAATAAGCCTTCCAATGCTACCATGTGAAAGTAAAACCAGCATGTCTATAAAAAAAGCTACTCAAATACAAAAAGTGGAAACCTTTACACACAAATCATTAAAGCCCTGAAGGACAGATGTATGCTAGCTGGTTAGAGGGGAAAACAATGCACAAACTACAGTATGTTTTTCTTCAGAAAGAGGAATACCAAAGAACTTACCATACCCTGTAATGGATGGAAGATCAAGGAGGAGTGACGATAAATTTTCATCTGCTCCAATAGAGTTTCCACAATCTGCTTTACTACACAATCTTGAATACACTCTCAGATGATGCGGTTCAACTAAAGGGAGTACAAGGACACAATAATTCGCCTTAATGTGCATAATCAATGGCCATAAAATATGATTCACTCCATCTTCTTTATTAATAAACAGACTTATCATGTGACGTGTAATTGGATCATCAACCCAGGAATCTGATCCTTCAACGGATTGGTTTACCCTAAGACCATATCCACGGGAAGACCCCTCCCTGCATACATTTTAAAAAGGTCATACAAAACATGAAAATTTAGTCATCTTGGATGCACATGAATTACAGAAATAAAAAGATGACAAAAGCTCCGAAGAGGGCATGGATAGGGTCCCCTAAACAATACCAAATCATATTTACATCAAACAGAACGTTTGGTCATAAACCAAAAGAGCAGAACCGTTTTGATAAAAGAATGTAGTAACTCTGTAAATACAACTGTTAGCGCTAAGAGATACTAAATACAGACAGTTAATAGTGTGCAAAGCTTATAATCTTTTTTAAATATCTACGATTAATATAGGCTTATGGAAAATCATTATCAGGCAATCCCTTCTTCAAGATGAGAGAGCAGCATTTCATCAATCGAATAAATTTTAGTAACTTTAAATGCAGCAGTTCTTGTAAACATCAAGATGAAATTTTACCTAATCTTCCGTTCACAAAATGCGGCAGCTATCTCAGAATCAGTTGGTAAATAAGGTGCCGGAGGTGCCCACTGAGATTTCACACTTTCGTCACTCAAACGCTCATTCTCTAGCTGACAGGCCGCTCGCCACCGTTTTTCCACCACCGGAAATCGTCTGAACAACTAAATAGAATCAAACTAAAAAGATCATCCTCAACCAATAAAGAATCGAATCAAATCGGAGAATATTTACCGGGAGAAGAGGACAGTGTCTTGGGTGCTGATGATCCATAAAGCTCTAATGCTACAAGAACGGGTCATTTGCTGCTGTAATTTGATACTCTGACTCTTAACTCTTAGGTTTGTGAATTTGGAAGGAGAAGATCGTGGAACTCAGACGCGGGAAGCTCGCCGATGACTGGAATACTCTCGGCGACGAGATTAGGAGCAAATTTTGCGGCTTCCAGCAAACGGTGTCGTTTGTCTGGTATTAACACAAAAATTCAACGACTCTCTCTTTTTTAAGTTTTCATACGAAGTGATGGTATAAGTGTACAAAAATACTTGATACACACACAAGTACGTAGTAATAAACAACTTGTACACAACCTCTAATTGCTTGTGTATACATATTATTCGTTTGAAAAATAAAATGATTTTATGTCAAATGTCTGTGTACATAGGCAAACTTGTACGCAACCCCCTAATTACTTGTGTACACAGATAATTAGGCTCAATAAATTAAAGTTTGTTGGGCTCAATAAATTGTACTCCCTCCGTATCAAATTAATTGACTCGTTTGCTTTTCACGCAGTTTAAGACAATTACTGTAGACTTTATTAAAAGTAAGAGGTTTTTGGTACTGTAGCGACACTGTAGCGGTACTGTAACAATACTGTAGCTGCTTTTTGAGTGAGATTCCTTCCAAAAAGGGAAAGGGGTCAATTAAATTGATACACCAAAAAAGAAAAGTGGGTCAAGTAATTTGATACGGAAGGAGTACGAAGTATTTGGCATCTCAAGGTATAATGCAGAGCAGCAGAGGTAAGGTTTGATCAAAAGACGTGTCAAGAAGTGACAACTCATTGGGGCTTGAGCAGTCCACTCTTATTAAATACCAGTAAAACTATTACTTCCTCCGTCCCAAAATTATCTTCATAGTTACTATTCACATGGTCAACTCAAATTACTCTTAATCTTTTACTTTATATATCAAATTTTTATCAAACTTAAATTTTCTTGATCAGGCTTTGTAGCGGTTTTAATGTAGTTTCTGAATATGTAAATTTTATTTACTAAAAATAATCCAAGTGTGAACAGGGATCGAGTTGCTTTATCGTCAGTCAAGCATCGTAAACCGAACTATGAAGATAAATATGGGACGGAGGTAGTACAACCTATCAATTAGAGTACGACCAAGAAAGTGTGTCTAATACTCCATATCCTACTGCTTCCTTTTTTTTTTATAAAAGATAAATGCTATAAATAGGGAACAAATTACAGAGTTCAAGGGGCATACCCCCAAAGTTACCAACAACAAATCATACAAAAACAACCACATTACAAAAACCAGCTATCACGAAGCACAAAAACAGTCCCCTGTGAACACAAACCAGCCACACTACTCATAGGAACCAACAGGGTTCATATAAATGGACAGAAACTGTTCAGTAAACTAGTAACCCATCTATCGGGGCATCAGAAGTTTATCATGTTCGACGGATAAAGTCTATATAAAATCTTGTAAGTAAGCACTTTGATTTGCAAAATCATTTCATCACTCGTGGCTTTTGCCCCTCCAAACAGTCCGGTATTTCGGGCTTTCCAGATTGAGTAAACCGTACAAGCTAGAGCAATTCTAGTTAGTCTTGCACCCCTCCACTCCTTTTTCATCCATTCTACTGAACTATGGAGGGTATGAAGAGGTCTTCTAATTCCCAACCACTCACAAATAACCTTCCAAATGGTACCAGTCACCGGGCACACGAAAAACAAATGCTCCACAGTTTCGAGATGGGTATGACAGAAACCACAATTCCTATGCACATCCATATACCAAAGATTTCCAGCTATGGATAATCTATTTCGAAAGCAAAGCCATAGAATAAAAGAATATCTGGGGGAATGTAATTTTTCCAAATGAAACACATCCATGACTTTCTAACCGATTTTCTCCTTAGGATATCATATAGGTTAGAGGAATCCAGCTTCCCATTTTTGCAGTTTGCCCCTATTTGAGCGATTATCCATCTGTGCTACCAAAGGACAGAAGGAGCATATCCTTGATTTTAGCCAACTGCTTCAACAAAGGGGAGTCCCTACTGCTTCCTTTCTATGTATGGAACGCCTAACTGGCGAGAAGATCTTCTCTTAACTGTCATGGAGAATAAAGATAAGTTACACGAACGAGGATCATATGATGATAATAAGTAGTAATAAATACTTTTATTGGCATTTACATTATCATATGACATCGGTCCCATAAATTTTCCTATGGAGTATTAGGGAGTGTTTGCAACTGCTTCTGTTTAAAAAAAAGTACTTTTGGAGATGTAATGAAAAAGTGATTAGTAGTAAAAGTTGATAGTGTTTGTGAAAAAAGTGATTTTGAAAAGTAAAAGTTGGTAGTGTTTGGTAAAATAAGTGCGTTTTGTGTAATAGAAAAGGGAAAAACACTTTTCACACGCAAGCCGAAAAAAAGTAAAAATTGGAAGTGTTTGGTAAATAAGTGCTTTTTAAGTCAAAAGCTGAGAAGTACTTTTTTTAAGCTATTGCAAACACTCCCTTAATTTGAATTTGGCCATTACAAATTTATGATAATCGAATTTGAATGAAACAAGTGTCGGTATCTGTTCTCTTCATTCTTATCCTAAGTGTAAAAGTGACTAAATTTAGTGTCTTTCTTTCAACTCCATCTATGGTGGTAATATTTTTAACGTAACATAGGTGGTGTTGTATACAATCTATCTAATACTTCGTATATCCTTCTCCTTGATTATGTAGGTGGATGGCTTCAACAAATATATTGCTAAGTTTAGGATTTTTCGAACTTCTACAGAAATTAGTTTTGTAAAGTAAGTCATTTGACAGGTTCTTCAATTATATTTACAATCTCCCTATCAATTCTTCTGAAGACATTGTCGATTAGTGGTAGCATACTTTATATTAAAACGTAGTCTTTGTTTTGGTTAGATTTAATGGTTGTTACTCTAAGAATCCATTTTGTTTTTTCTATAGAACCCCTTTATATGATTCTCATGGTTTCATGTTCAAATGTGCAAGTGTTACTCGAAGATCCCTTTGATTTTCCAATAGAAATTATCTCCTTTTTATGATTCTCATGAGTTTCAATCACGGGTTTCATGTTTTTATCTGTGTACATGCGTGGGAAAAAAACTGAATTAAATAAATTTTGAAACAATATTTACTACAGAGTATATACAAAAGCCACAGAAATTTTGGCTTCTTTACCGTTCAAAAACACTGGTTGAGTGGGTCAAAAATGGATTGGCCTTGAGCGCAAGCACTTGATTAGCAGTTGATTTAATGCACCAGGTTGGTGTATTGCAGCTGTATTGGAGAGGCCATTTTTGTTCTGCCCAACTTTCTTAGGAAGAGAAATGGGCAGTTTGGCTTTCCAGGTGAGTAGGTAACGGATATACTACGTACGATAGTATTATTTAGGATGTTTTCTTTTGGACTGAAATTTGCTGGTCTGGTCTGGTCTGGTCTGTTTAAGTCTGGTCTGGTCTGGTCTGTTTAAGTCTGGTCTGGTCTGGTCTGTTTAAGTCTGGTCTGGTCTGGTCTGGTAAACGTCTGGTCTCTGTGTATTTTATAACTACGGAAGTCTGGTCTGGTCTGGTCTGGTCTGTTTAAGTCTGGTCTGGTCTGTTTAAGTCTGGTCTGGTCTGGTCTGGTCTGTGACTGAAAACAGTCCAAAAGAAAACATCCGCATGCTAAGTTGGAAATTGGAATTTCATTTAAATTTCTGATCCATTCTCTTCCCAAGGTGCAACTTCTTATTCGGAAAATGAAATAAGGAGCATAATTTACTAATTTAGTTGAATTCTTTTCTCAATAATGTTTGATGTACTCATTCTTATACTCACCGTATACCTATCATCGATGTTCTAAAAGGCGTAAGGTGGGTCGAGGCGGCATGACCAAGCCCGAAGCCTTTGAAGCCTAGGTGGGTTTAGGCGAAGCCTAGGCGTAAAAATGCGTTTTAGTTTTGTACTCATTATTTTAATTTTTCTAGGGCAATTACTTAAGAGATAAATGACATACTCCCTCCGTCCCAGTTTGTAAGATACATTACGGTTTACGATGTTTGACTGACGATAAAGCAAATTGATCTCTGTCAACACTCAAATTATTTTTAGAAAATAAAATTTACATATTCAGAAACTACATTAAAACCGCTACAAAACCTACAAAAAATAATTCAAATTTCATAAACTTTTGATATATAAAATAAAAGATTAAAAGTGATTTGTGTTGACCAAGTGAATAGTAAATGTATCATACAATTTGGGACTGAGGGAGTACTTATAACTAAAGACAATAAAAGTGACTCCTTGAATGTAGTGATTGTAGTATCAATCTATAGCGACCACTTTTATGTTAAATTTTTATATTTAAATTATTATAATGTTATAATTTTATACTTATAACAATTTCAGTCATACTTTCATCGATAAATTTGATTTTAATAACATTTCAGGAAAAGTCTCATTACAAAATAGTTAATATGTACTCCGATGCACAACTTTGACCATTAATATATATAATTTTCTAGATAAGTGCGATGATCTTAGATAAAATCTTATAACTTTCATTCTTAGATAAGTGCGACGATCAAATTTTTACATTTACCGATACACAACTTTGACCATTAATATATATATATAATTTCTATTAGTAAAAAAAGTTTAAAACATAAAATTTTGAAAATTTTCAATGAGACAACCTTACCAACATTTTTTCGAAAAATATTAACATTAATAAATAAAACGTAGTCAAAGTTGATCATGATGATGGCATAAAATTCAATATGTCGCACATATTTAAGAATGAAGATAGTATTAAGATAATATGTAGTATCACACATAAAAAATCACACTTCAAATTTTCAATATAATAAATATCTCAAGAACACAAATACGGAGTTTAAGGTTTACATACTACAAAAACAAGAATTAAAAAGAATTTGATTGATAAAATAATAATAGTGATAATAATTTGATTGATAAGAATTTGTTGGATATAGTTTTAATATTTCCTCAAGTTCACAACAAGCGAACTTAACTTGAAAGCTCCCAAAGGGGAAGGCCTCTTTCCGGCTTGCCCTCCTGTATTATGCTTCTAATTATCCCACACCGAAACAAAAGAAGCGGATACGTCCTTCCAACTAATGTCTATGGACCGATAGAATGTTCATTTTATAAACTGAACTAGACGATGTACCCGTGCGATGCACGGGAATATCTAAAGTAAAATAGTTATTTAAAATTATATTTTATAATGATGACCTATAATAAGTAATTTTTATATAGAAGAAAAATATAAAATGAAAAACATAAGTCGTATGAAGAATTGAAAGTAAATTTGACAAAAACAATAAATAGTACCTGACAATGAAAAAGTCGTGATAATATAATATGAAGTGTTTATTTCGTTAGCCATCACCAAATTTTATAATACCGGACAATCCTTTTTCAATGTTGTATAAAAATTATCATAAGTTTTTTAGATTACATGTTTAGTGGCCAACACTACACAACTCTCATCTTTGCATATTAGAATTTTCTACTCACTTCTTGAGGTGGCTCTGGACATAGAAAGATACATATTGCTCTGCGTAAAAACAGATTTTGTAAGATAATGTCTACTTTATGCAAAGATTGTCCATGACTGGGAATGACCTACATTGAAACTTGATAGAACTTCGATTATGTGACTGACTGACGGGACCAAATTAAAGATAATCACGGGATTAAATATTTGTCAAATATTTTTTTTGTATATAACTTTCGCCTCTAAAACAGTTTACCCATGAGAAAGGTAAGGCATATCCTAGATATTACATACTCTAGAAGATTGATCAATGTTTCTCATGAACATAATAGGAATTCTAATTACTTTGAATAATGAGGTGCGAGTTTAAGAAACACTTAGAATAAGGTGCTATATCTAATTAATTTCATGGAAAAATACAGTTTTTCAAGTGTTAAATAACTACTTCCATTGGTAACTGTTTTACTATTTAGTATTTACTTCGAAAGTTTGGCAGATAAAAGCTTTCCATGCTTTTTTATTCTAGATTGATAGATTACAATAACTTTCTTGTAATACTTGACAATTCATTGCAGATAAAAATTAATTTCCCAAAGCGAAAAGAAATCAAATCAAGGTAATTGAACAAATTGGTTTAGCATGGTTTTTTTTTTAATATCAACTTTTACTTGAAAGTATTAGACTGAAGTATAAAATACACAGATTGGTAACAAATAATACAGGATGAATTATAGTTTTCAGGTTTTAAAAAGGGCTTAAATATACATTCACTTGAATGTAATACTTTTATAAATTAAATTGTTTTATATAACTATAAATTTCAATTTACTTGTCAGCATTAAGTTAAATGAAGATAAAATAAAGCTAATAGAAATGAAATCAAGTTTACAGTATCTCCAATGCTACAATATGCACGGTCCACATGTGATATGAGAGAAATAGACAGAAAAGATTAAATTCGTGACATTTATCTCTCCTTCTTTTCACGACTTTTTTTTTGTAAGTTTTTCTCAATAATGTCAACCACAATGTCAACAGTTAGACATTGTTTTTGACATTGTGGAAAAACTTACCAAAACATATACGACCATTCAAATAAGAAGAGATATATATTACATTTTTGTTTTTTAATTGGCCGTTTCTCATGCTAAGTATGCACCGTTCACGTTTTTGCATTGGATGTGTTCTTACAGTCACTTCAAACTACCCTGTATTTAATTTAGAATTAAAAAAATATTACCTTGTCCCGAAAAGGTTTACCATATGATGACAAACTTTGAACAATGATTTTAATTATTATATTTGTAATTAATTTAAAAATATTATACTTTTATGGAAATATTTTGAATAAGGAAATAATACTTGTAATATAATTATTATACTTGTAATAATTTAAATATATTTAATATACTTGTAAATAATTATTATATTTGTGAATAATTTAAAAATATTATACTTTCATGTTCAAAATAATTTTGTATTAAAAAATATCTTTAGTCAATGTTGATTGTCATTAATCAAGAAAAATAAATTTGGCAAACTTTTTTTGGATGAAGGGAGTACGCATTTGATGGATGGGAATATACTCCATCAGCATTTTAGGGGAAGTTTTGCAGGAAGCTCTACTGAACCGATAGCCATTCAGATGCTCATAAGGCTGTGAATGGTGTAAATTGCCCAGGTGGATGCTCCTATGATACAACTTTGTCAGATGATATTAAACACATGATGACATCAGTCGCTAATATTTCTGTCCAATATGTGCAACGATCAGCGAATAAGGTTGCTCATTCATTCGCTAGGCAAGCTATTTTGGGTCTGATTGTTCTTGATTTGAGATTCCTCCATTTTGTATTCGCATCCTATAAGGATAATTATTAATGAAACTTATGTTTGTTTTTACAAAAAACACACAAATTTATTAAATTGAATAATCATACATTTAACAAAAATGATGGTATTCAAATTTATTAAAGAGAAATTGGCCTTAATATGACTAAAACTAAACATAAATGCACAAATAGGACCCTAGATTTTTTATTCACTAAATAAAACTAAACATTACCTTTTCTGCCCATAATATAATTAATCCCCCAGTTCATTTGCATACCCAAGGTCAATCCCTTGGTGGAAAAGCAGGGTAGCAGACACGTGCTGGCAGCAACCCAATGGTGGTAATCTGGTGGTAGACGATTTATGGTGATAAGCGGCAGCGGCGGCGGCAGAATTCCGACAATCAGTGACGGTAGAAGTCCGATGGCAATCTAAACCCTCCTAGGAGTATTTTTGTCTATAAATATAATAACTATTCTTATTTAGAGAATTTGACTTATTTTTTGCATTTCGATCATGTTTCATTCAAGTGGACTAAAAAAATATGATTTTTCCAATATGATTAATTTTTGTACATTAGCTTTTAGCATTGATTTGAATGCATGTTGGTTATTTACATTTACGAATATATTGATTAAGCTATTGATTTGATTTCAAACAAATTTTTTGCAATTTATGATCAAAATTAGAAGTATTTATTCAACCATTAATTACATGATTGTCTTGAGCAACCCTTTCCATTTATTACCTTTGTAATAACATCCGTAATACTTAGTATAGGGTTGTGCCATTAATAGATAGTCACTTTTAGTGATATATATTAATGCCGACATGAAGTTTTAATAAAATATGGAATATATATTAATTGCCATTCGCATTAATACAATATTAATTTTCACTTATACCCTTTGAATGAGCGGGAATTTTGCCTCCAAAAACTGTAGCAACTTTGCTACTTTATATTGTATAAGATAAGATAAGATAAGATAAGATATACTAATATTTAACCAATGTGTGTTTTTAGATT